CGGTGCGTCTCACAGGTGTCGCTCATCGGTAATCACGCCACCGGCCTCGCGCCGTTCTCCCGCGGCCCTCACTCGTCCCGCTCGCCACAGTAAACACGATGAACGGCGACTGTAGAACGCAAAAGCCCAATCCCGAACATTTTGGGCGATCTCGACATTATCACATTTTTGGACAGACTCATCACTAGTAGTCTAGACTTGTTGTTTAACTACTGCGCTCTGTTACCAGTAGGCGTGGCCTCCTAAGTCAGCGAAGCAAGTGCATTCTGGGAGTTGTTGTCTTTCATCCACATAAGCCAAAAATACATTTTGTGGCTTTTCTCAGTCTAGAATTCACTCCAAATTCAAAAGTAATTTCATATTTCTTCTACATAAATGACCCATTTTAAATATTCATTCATCTTCCCAGAGGTGAAGTATCCCTTTAAGGTTTTAAATACTTTTTAGAGCTTACAAATATGTAGGTGCAAATTCTATTCTAGCCTACAATTGTGTCAAGAGAATTGTGCAAGTCTGCACCATTTGATTTATCGTTCTCCCTGCAGCACTGCAATAAGTGCTGCTATATAAACTACAAAGCACACATTTAAAAGTTCTCATCTGACATCCCCCTTAAGATAAACTGATGGGCAGAAAAGCCCTCTGACATCTAGCTTCATCATTTAGGATATGATATTGGAATACTAACACATGCCATGCCCTTACACATCCTTATAATGTGAGCCTTGGTAAGTGTGACGTTCACAATATCATTAGCCTCCATTGCACCCATCAATAACACATCTGAGATGGGCAAAAAACGGTAAGGTCTTAATAAGATCAATGTTCAAAAATACACAAATTAAGACATTTTTACATGAAACCTGAGAGGTTCCTGTCCAACCATTGAATATTCGGGGAACCAAAATTTAGAATATCCAAAAATGCGCATCACACACAGCTTTTATATTTAACATATTTGATGTTATCTATGTGTGTGTGCTGGTCATTGTTTAGATGTAATAAGTGCCTAAATCTGTTCATCATATCTCTTCACAAGACTTCAAGTTTGGTAGACTTCTAATGGAGGGACAGAAACCTCTCACAATCTCATTAGCCTCCATTGCACCCATCAATAACACATCTCAGATGGGCAAAAAAATGGTCTTAAAGAGATCAATGTTCAAATAAACGCAAATTAAGGTTTTTTTTATGAAACCTGAGAGGTTCCTGTCCAACCATTGAATATCCAGGTAACCAAAATTTAGAATATCCAAAAATGCGCATCACACACAGCTTTTATATTTACCATATGTGATGTTATCTATGTGTGTGTGCTGGTCATCGTTTAGATTAACACAGTCTCATCCCAAAAAGTCATATAACTGACGTTTTGGGACGTATTTTGACCATACGTCAATATCCGCCTTTTTAGGGCCCACTTAAACGTCGGTAGATGGCGATCCCGGGCCGTCATACAACTGACGCTTTACCTTTAACGTCAGTTAGGTGACGGATTAGGTTTAGGTCTGGGGTAGAGTTAGGATCCCATAACCTCATCTACCGACGTTTAAGGGGGCCATCATATCTCTTCACAAGACTTCAAGTTTGGTAGACTTCTAATGGAGGGACAGAAACCTCTCAGGTCTCACTAAAAATATCTTAATTTGTTTTTTTGAAGATTAACCTATAGTCTTATGGGTTTGGAATGACATTAGAGGATTTAACGGATTACAGAATTTTATTTATTTATATATATATATTTTTTTTGGTGAACTATGCTGTTAAATGTTCGTATGCTTTAGGATTTGGATTATCATTGACACCATTCAAGTATCTCAACTGTCCAATTGGATATGGAGACATATTGAAGTATTTGAAGAGCGATGACTAAGCTTTTTTCTGATTGTCCTGGCAGATTTGGAAAACTGCTGAGTGACATTTTTCCCTAGAGCAAAGGATTATTCTTCCACAGTTCAAGAACTCTCGCTTTGACCACCCGCCAAAAATTGTCTACCGCAGTGTGTGTGCTGCTGCAGTCAAACTACCCGTCACTTATCCACAGTGGATGTAAAACATATATGAATAATCAGAGCAATGCCTTGTGGTCACAACTCATGCATATTATGGGTAATGGGTAAAGTCGCATATTATATCATTTTTGGAAGCAAAATGTAGAATGTAATTTTTTTAATGTGTATTTATGTGCTTCAGTTCAAATCAAATAAGTAACATGCAGTTTTCAATATATATATATCATTTATTCATTGACAAATACAATTGAAAAACCTTACATTGCAGACTGCAAATGAGCAGCACATTAAAATAATGCCATCATAATCAACAAAAAAAATGAGTAAACCACACTACCATGGTGTAATGTCTAAAGGACCTGTCAGTATCCATGAGTGTCATCAAGAGTAACACAAAACTATGCAGGAAAAGTTGTAGTATCTTGGGCAGTGTTTTATAGATCCTCCCTCTTCTATATATATATAGTTGGATCAGTAACCAACTACATTTGTAAGTAACCTACCCAACACTGCTCTTAAAGGGATACTCCACCCAAAAATGAAAATTCTGTCATCATTTACTCACCCTCAAGTTGTTGCAAACCTGTATGAGTTTCTTTCTTCTGCTGAACACAAAGGACGATATATTGAAGAACGATTGGAACCAAACCATTTGGCACCATTGACTTCCATAGAAAAACATAAATGAATATTATGGAAATCAGTGGTGACAAAGTTCCAATCGTTCTTCAAAATATCTGCCTTTGTGTTCAGCAGAAGAAAGAATACAGGTTTGCAACAACTTGAGGGTGAGTAAATTTTCATTTTTTTGGGTGGAATATCCCTTTAAGGAACTACTATCTACATACTTGTTTAATTTAGAATTTGTTTGTTGTAAAAATACAAAACTTTTCTTTCCTTTTTGCATGAGACATTTTTTTACGGATCAACTTCTTTCTTGATTCCTGAAAAGATAATAGCCCTGCGACAGGGTGCATCATGGGAAGGAGCTTGTCTACATTGTGAAGAATGATGCCAGCTCCAGTCAGAGTGGTGTGGGGGTTTGTTGGAGTAGATGAGTATTAAAGAGATGGAGATGAGAGGTAGCATTATTCCCAGAGTCCCAGTATTGTCTGAGCAGTTACTGTACGTTTGGGGGAAAGGGATGATTCGTCTTCACAGGGAGTTGACAATTGGACAATGCAGAAGCTCATGTGGCTTGCCATAATAATTAAGATGAACCTAACTCTTGACACCAATAGTGGTGGCTGTCTACTTTTGTGGAGCTTAGACTGTGTTTTACGTCCAATTATAAGTGCAAGTATGACATGCTTCATAATCAGACTAATACAGTCTAACTCTTTGAAAACAAATGCTTGAATATTAGTTACTTTTTCCCCCCACTGAGGTTTTAAAGAGTTCATTGGAAATGACTCCTAATGTAAACCTCCACTCATTTTCAATTTTGTGTCGTTATTACATCAGTCTAATTATACATTTAATGCTGAGTGATATTAATAAGCAACATCTTAGTATAGGGTTAGTCTCTACCATGTGTCACTGTAAAATAAAGTGTTACCAATAATTGGTTACAATTTATTTGAAGGTGTCCTTGTTAAAGTGTAATTATTTATTTAAGTACTGAGTAATATTAATTAACTACATGTACTTACAATAGGGTTGGGGTTAGTTGCATGTAATTATGCATACTTTACCGTTATTACTATGGTAAGTACATGTAACATGTAACAAAGACACTGTAAAAATAAAGTGTTACCAATAATTAAATTAGTGGAGTCAGTTAACCACGGTTGACACGTACATATGTTTATTTCAAAACTTTTTCTTTTTTTTTTGAGTTTCCATCACTAAAGCTAGCTTGCTATGCTGCAAATAAAATATCTTCCATAAAATAGTGGTTTGTAATCGTTATGTGGTCAGCAATCCTGGAATTACTTCATATGTGCAGTCAACACATCAGCCTAAAGAATCAAGAACTGAACAATGCAATTGATATAAAATGATATAGATAAGACATGTTTTATCCTGACTGCTCTATCCAGCCCATTCTCATTCCAAGGTGTCATATACTGACGCTTTTGCCAATGCATAGATATCCAACACACATGGCACCCTTCAGTGCCAATGTGAGACGCAGATATATGGGCAAGAAGGCGCCTCCTAGTGGTTTAACCCTAACCCTACCCCAGACCTAAACCTACCCATAAACAAAGCGTTATATTGACGCTTAAGGGTGCCATGTGCGTTGGATGTCTACGCATTGGCAAAAGTGTCGTATATGACACCTTGGGATGAGAATGCGTTGCACTATCCTGCATGTTTGAGCATCAGGCGGGCTTGTCCATTAAATATTACCCGATGAAAAATCGCATGCGGAGGTGATGGAAAGATCAAGTCCAGTCAAAGAGAGACAGGAAGCAGACAAATCCTCATGAAATGCAAATGCATCCTAGAAACCGGTTTTATTAAGCTCTCTGTAAAAATGCTAGATACCCATAAATTCTTGGTGTCTTGAAAATATAGCCTATATTAGCAATTAACACTAGAAAGGTTATGGTTCATTTGCACTTTGTAGTATCCATTGTTTACATGTGCATTTATAAGGTGACATGGACTTTTTCTTGTTGAGTAATTCATATCAAGATTTTAAGGTCTAGTGCACGCCCTTTTGAGACTTCTACATCATCAGCAAGCATCCTTATTAGCATATCATTAACATTTCTCGAAACGTGAAAAATAGGCAAACATATGCAGAAAGCATGTTTCTTGTATATTCAAGCAATTCTCGAGACAGATATGCTAATATCATTACTAGCTTTATAGAATGTGTATTGTCATGGAATATATTATCTAAAATAATGTTTTTTTTAGCAAAAATAGAGCTGTTTTCTATGGGCTTGTGTTTTTCCAATGCCTGCTAGATCTTCTCTGGCTGCATTAGTATTGTTGGACTGCAACAATGTATTGTGTCTTTTCTCTCATCTTCAGCCAATGGAGAATTTCCTCCGGTGGCTCCCATAAGCCCCACTCAAGCACTGTTCACACCGAGCAATGAGAACATCAAGACCACTACACCACCGTCTACAGAATGTGAGTTTTAGCTACTTTCATCTGCTTGAGCTGTTTTTGTAATATTTCTGACTTTTATCTTGCTTGTTCAGTCTGAAATTTGCCCCAGTGTGATTTAAAAGTCTGAAGTTTGGCGCAATTCATGTTTGTTCTTGTTATTGTATATATGAGCGCTAAAATAAAACATGTTTTTAGTCATTGTTCAAAATGTTGGTTTTAACTAGTCTCTCACAGCTACCTAACTCATTAGTCTGATTGACATCCCAGCAGACCGTTTCCCAAAAGTATTGTAAGCCAAATACAGGCACAAGTTTCTTTTTCATCAACATAGTTAAACAAATCTGGGTTTTCCTGAAACCGTTCCAGCGAACATTCACAAACAGCATTGCAAACCTATTGACCTGTGGTTAGAAGCATATTTTTTGTCAGTATGACATGTGGACTTATGTCGGGTTCAGACTACACAATATCAGCCCGATTTTGGCATGATCCATTTGACATGGGGTGTTGTGGTGATTGGTAAACAGTAATGGGCATCAGGGCGCATTAATTGATCGTTTTATCTCGTATGGTGTGTCATAGCGGATGACAACCGACTAAGCTTCATGGCGTCCCAACAGAAAGACTAGTATGTTAGATCACAACTGGTTCCATCACATCTGTGATTGACCAATAGGAGCAGAGAAGCTCTTCCATGCAGCTTTCAAACATGGTGAAACGAAGAGAGACGGTGGTATTGGTTCTGCTAGGTTTAACTGTGCAATAGAGGAAAGGTTTGTGGAGCTATACGTAACAATATTCCTGCGCTCAAAATGTTTCATTGAAGGACTACCACAACTGAGTGCAAAAAGAAAACTGTTGAGGTCTGGAATTAGCATTAAGTTAGTACAAACGTTGTTTTCTATTCTCTTGTGTCCAGAAGTCAGTCACTAGTTCCGCCTCTTTGATGATATTACTCATATTACTGATGATTAGGGTTGGGTATCGAGAATCGAGTATCGATTGGAACCGAGACTAACTTTTCGTTTTTCCCGGAATCGTTCAAAAGTAAAAAAATTCGATTCCTAGTTTTGATATTCACAGTCCGCCGAGCGGAAGAAGAAACCGCTGAACAACACCAACGAAGAAGCGTCTACCGGAAGTGTTGGCATAACCGCGCGAGTCGAACATGAGTAGCTTACGTCGCCGATCCAAAGTGTGGCTTCACTTTTCTAAAAATAACGAAATCTCGGCAAAATGCAAAATTTGTGACGAAAGGAGTATTTCTACAGAAGGAGTATTTCCTTCAGAAAGGCCGTTGGTTAGCAAGCTTAGCTAAACTTTTTTGACCCTGCCTCTTAAAAGAATCGGAATCGAGAATCGTTAGGAACCGGAATCGAAACAAGGAATCGGAATCGGAATCAGAATCGTTCAAATTCAAACTCGATACCCAACCCTACTGATGATATTACTTATTATTATTGAAGTCTGACTTGTTTCTTGTCTACGACACAAGAATTGAGTCCAAATTGGGTTTCACTTTATTTGGATGGTCCCTTTAACACATTCTGGTTTCTATAAGTAACATTGCACGTACATGTCTACTAACTCTCATTAGAGTAATAGTTGAGTATTACTAGACTGGTATTGTTAGAATAAGTTGTCAAGTAGTTGCAAAGTCACTTATAGTCAGTTAGAGGACCATCACACTAAAGAGTTGGCAGATATTAAGTAGACAGTCTACTACTACTTTAATGAGAGTTAGTTGACATCTAGTTGCAAAGTTACTTATAGTTAACAGAATGTTCAAAAGGGACCATCAAAATAAAGTGTTACCCAAAATCTGACACAGTGACTATCGTAACAGTCAACAATTATGTAATCTGAACCCGACATTAAATAGATCATGTTCTTGGGCACAATAAGTAACATAATGTGCAGGACATTCAAGATATTTCATTCTGAAAATATATATATAATTTATTCTCTGTCAGCATGCCTACAATCAGCAAAGTTTATATGTGCATTAACCCACAAAGCAAATGATGGGAACGAAACATGTGATGTAGTTAATTTATGTATTGATTTCCATTTAAAACTAAATTGCAATAGAAAATCAATACAGTTATATATATATATATATATATATATATAAACAAATAATAATAATTTAAAAAAAAATAGATGAATTGTCAACTTTTATGCAAACAAAATAGTTATAATACGTTGAAGACATGGATGTCAGATCCAAACAACACTACCGGCTCCCAACAAAAGTATGGTGTTGTGTATTATAAAGACACTGAAGTGTTTGTTTTCACAGCAAGTTATGAGTTATTCACTGCAAACATTTAAGCATCTAATTCAAAGTCCAGACCATGTAATTCCTTCTGAGCACACTGAAATTGTTGAAATGCTTGAGTGCACCAATTATGTTGGATTTCTAATGGATATACAAGATGAATACTTAAGAACAGAGGCCTCTCTCTCTCTCTCTCTCTCTCTCTCTCTCTCTCTCTCTCTCTCTCTCTCTCTCTCTCTGAAACGGAAGTGCACTGCAGAGAAAATAAAGTGTGCCATCTACTGGACTATTTCTGTATGGCAAGCCGCTTTAGCTTTTATTCATTTCCAGGATATGAATTCTTGATATCAACAATTACAATTTAATTGTTGATATCAAGAATTGAATTATTGATATCAACAATTGAATTCTTGATATCAAAAATTTAATTGCTGATATCTGTAATTGTATTTTCACTAGTGAAATTTCACCATAGGCTGCCATTCAAAATGAATTGTTGATATCAAGAATACATTTTTTACTAGTAGAAATCTATTCTTGATATCAACAATTCAATTGTTACTAGTAAAAATTATAATTTTTGATAACTGAAAATGTATTTCTGATATCTAAAATGGCTTTCTTACTAGTAACAATCACATTCATGAGATCAGAAATTAAAATTGTCACTAGTAAAAATTTAATTATTGATATCGAAAATGAACATGGATACTAGTAGCATTTCAATTGTGGATATCAAGAATAGACATTTCAACTAGTAACAATTGAATTCTTAATATCAAAAATAAAGGTTTTTAGTAATAATAGTAATAATTGTATTTCTGATATTTGAAATGGAATTTCAACTAGTAAGAAATCAATTCTTGATAAACAATTGGTTTTGAATGGCAGCCTATAGTGACATTTCACTAGTGATACAATTGTTGATATCAAGAATTACATTTTTGATATCAAGAATTTAATTGTTGATGTCAATAATTTAATTATTGATATCAACAATTAAATTGTTGATATCAAAAAAATGTAATTGTTGATATCAAGAATTGAATTGTTGATATCAAGAATTCATATCCTGGAAATGAATAAAAGCTAAAACGGCTTGCCATAATTTCTGCACCATTTCTCCTCAGATCAAACAGTGTTAAAAGGCCAGTCGCAACATCCACACTACAGCTTTTGGTGCAAACCTGAGTGCATGTGACATCAGAGTTTGGTTCATTTAATTGGTGTAAATGTGGAGTTCAAAATGCAGGTGTACACCAGGGAACCATGATGAGAGTGCTTAAAAATTATCTGGAGAAGTATGAGACATAATCTAAATCATGGAAATGCTATTGAGGACAGGGTGGACCTTAAAAGTATTAATCGAATAAAGCCAATTACAGTAAAGAACAGCAGAAAATTAAGAATTTGTAGACTTTTTAATATCTATACGTATACTGTATCTAAGTCCATACTTACTCAATAAGACGTAAATGTTATGTTTTATGCTAGTAGATAAGTCTTCTAAAAATAAGGAAAATAAAGAAAAATTGCTAACTGATCCTTTGTTTTTGGAGTTGCATTCCCTCCAAGGAAATGATGTCACTTCTAGCAAGTCATGTGATATTTGAAGATTTGAAAGGTCAAATAGCAACAGTGTGTGTGAAAGGGTGGACTGACGTTACTGAAATCAGTTTCATGCTTTTGCATATTAAATGCATCACAATAAATGGTATGGAGTCAGGAGTCAATGAGTTACTAATACATAATATATACTTTATGTAACTTTTATTTCAAAGTCAAGGCGTATTAAATGAAATCTTAAGTAGTTACTCGTTATTAATTTGTGTTAATGGGGTACATCTATGCTTGGAAAACCATGTGGCATGAAAGTTGATTAACAGTTAATGTAAAATATTGGTATACAATCCACCAGACTGTAATAATGACCTGGTGATGATGCATCATTTGCACGCTCCCGATCACGTCCAATATGGACTAATGAGTTTCTGCTCGTCTCCATTAAATTTCCTTGAAAAGCAATATGTGTTCCATGAATCTCTCCAGTGCATTTGTTGCAGACACATTCGGGTGCCATTCTGTAACCAAACCAACCGTGATCATCAACATCATCTGTAAAGATACTGGAAGTTTCCCTCCATTCATGCTTTCATATGATATACCATTCTTATCTATTGAATGTGCCTGATCAGTTGAAGACTGATCTGTTTGCCCACTGCATATACAGGTGTTCCTCTCATTGGAGCATATCATTTATCAGTATGGTTTGTGAAATGACTCCCAAGCCATTTCAGCCTTAATAAATCTGAACGAGCAGCTAATCTGCTATTCATCAGGACTCATTAGCAGAGCCTCACTCACACACGGTGTTTTCCAGTGTAGTTCAGCCGTGAACGGTTTAAAATACGTCGTCTAACTGTTCTCTGCAGTGTCTGAGACGGCAAAATGAGGAGCATTCATTGCTCAGTGTCATGAAACTGTGCGGTTTTAGTCTATATTCTGTTCTTGAATCGATAGCACTGCAAACAATTCACATGGTGGTGGGAGAGCAAATGAGTCATTCTGCAATTTAGGATAGATCTCCATGAATGATTGTATATTTAGTATTGTGAAATATTATTAATAATGGTTTTCTATTTAAAGGGATACTCCACTTTTTTTTGGAAATAGGCTCATTTTACCACTCCCCCAGAGTTAAACAGTTGGGTTTTACTGTTTTCGAATGTATTCAGCCACTTTTTTGATATTTAGAAGAATATCAGTAACCAGACAGTTTCTGGTCTCATTGACTTCCATAGTATATTTTTTTTCCTACTATGGAAGTCAATGAGACCAGAAACTGTCTGGTTACTGATATTCTTCTAAATATAAGAAAAGCGGTTGAATGGATTTGAAAACGGTAAAACTCAACTGTTTAACTCTACGGGAGTGTTAAAATGAGCCTATTTCCAAAAAAAGTGGAGTATCCCTTTAATTATACTTTGAAATGGAATGTATTCCTGTGATGCAAAGCTGAATTGTTATGGTGTGTTCACACCGAACGCGAATTTAATTATTTGCGTGAGTAGATTACACAAAAAGTCAATGCAAAGACGCGAATAGACGCGTCGCGAATGACACGAATTAGGAGACGTGTTTTTGCCACTAACGTCTTCCACGCAAGTTGAAAAATTTGAACTCAAGTGGAAGATTCAAACATTTAACAAGACGTGACATTGGCCCTGTCCCAAATGGCACACTCTGGACTTGTGGACTTCCTCAGAGTCCACACTTCGGTGACATCATGTAGTTGACAATCAACTACAGTATACTGATATTCTAATGACAGTTAGTTGCAACGCATTCTCACCCCAAGGCGTCACCTTTGACCATGCTTCAATATTTGACGTTTTAGGCGCCCTTTAGCGTCACTTACATGACGCGATCCTACGGCGTCATCTAACTGACGCTAAAGGAAAGCGTCAGTTAGAGGACGCGGTTAGGTTTAGGTGTGGGGTGGGGGGTAGGGTACACGCGATCCTAGGGCGTCATCTAACTGATGCTAAAGGGCGCCTAAAGCGTCAGATATTGAAGAATGTCCAAATGCTTCCCAAGTGACGCCTTGGGGGTGAGAATGGGCTGTTAGTTGACATGCAGTTGAATGCTTCTGCTAACTTATAGTTAGCAAAATGTCTAAAGTGGACTATCGAAATAATGGTTTTTTTTTTTTTTTTTTTTTTTTTTGGAAACTGCGATACAATATTTCAGTATTCCTTGATGAATAAAAAGTGTTTTTTTATTTTATTTTTAAGAGCATTTATTCAAAAGATAATTTTTATAGCAAAATTTGTTGTAAATGCTTTTTTTAATTGATTTATTTATTTGCTTTTTTTAAAAAAAAAATGTTTTATTCATTAACGAATCCTGACAGTAACATTGATAATAAAAATGTATAATAAATAAATCATTTTAGAATGATATTTGACACTGAAGACTGCATGGAGAAAAAATTCAGCTTTGCATCACAGAAATAAATTATATTTTAAAATATATTAAAATTGAAAATAATTATTTTAAATTATAAAAAATATGACTCTGTTGTTTCTGTATTTTTGATGAAATAAATGCAGCATAAGATAGATACAGTATATTAATTAATTAAAAATAGTAATGTGTCCAATCTTTTGACTTGTATGTCCTTTTGACTTGCAGGGTTTTGTTAGATATTTTTCAGTTGAATTTTCATCAAAAATAAGTGTATAATAATTCATAAGTGTATCGCATTTTGATAACACCACCACCTGCCTCTAGCTTTAAACTGGTTTGAAACCACATTTGCTCAAGCCAGTTAATAATTAAACACAAACACGTTCTACCAGAAACACTCTCTAGTAAAGCTTTCTGGAGTTCTATTCCCAGCTGTTGTTTTCTTTAAACTGGAAGGAAAATCAAGTTGTACATCAATCTTCCCTTGATTCAGTCATGGATAATTGATATAGCTTTAAAAAAAAAAAAGCTTTTGATTGTTTTTGATCAATTGTGCAACTATTGGAGTTTTCTGTCATGCCGCCACTCTCCCTTTGGTTATCTCCAGTTTGTCCTTCTCTTTTCTGTTCCTGCCCTCTCCCATTCCATCCACCACTATCGATTTCTCCCCTTGCCACCATGGCATCTCATTTTGGCAAGCAAATCCCAGTCGAATGGGGAAGTTTGCCTTACGCTGACTCAAATCTTCAGCGCCGGCCGCGGAGAGAGGGAGTGTGTTCTTCTGTCAGATCAGCTCCCTCGGCCTTTGTCTCCTTGATTACTTCCTCTGACTCTGTCTGTGTGAATGCTTCCCCTGATGAGAATAAGAGACGGGCCGCTAACCTCATGATGCGCTGAGTACCGCCGATGACTCAGCCATTCCCACCAATCAAACCTTGGAGATCTCTATAATAAGTGGAAGTTGTATAAGACCCATTGGTGATATTTGTCTGGCACATTACCTCTATACAACTCAAAGCTTTCTTTCACATCAGATCTAATTCATTCAGCTTGATGGGTTCCTGGCAAGGAACTAAACTTTCATTCGGATGTATTCAGATGTTTTATTCACAGACTTGGGCCGAGCAACGTCACTGCACAGAAAGAGGTGCATTCGGACAATCCTGTTTTGGAAGTTTACTGGCTAAAAATGTTAAATGTCAGTGTAATATATCCAGAATGTTTCCTATTTTTGATGCAATGACCAAAGTACTTTTCAGACTTTGTTTCTCACCTTGATACCACTCTGTTCTGATCATTCATGTCAAAACTGGATTGGCTTTCCTTGTAGGTTTCAGGCCATTTGATTGGTTCATATCTTAAATATTGGGTAACACTTTATGTTAGTGTCCTTGTTTCACAGTTTACATGTAGTCATTGTAGTAATAATAACTATAAATTATGTGTAATTATATATGCAACTAACCATAAACTGAACTCTAGTTGTACTTGCATATTACTATAATATAATATTAATATAATAAAATGCTACTTACTTCTAAAGACACTGCAATTCTGAAAAGTGAATTTAATAACTTCAAATTTAAAGTTTTACTTACTCGTACATTAATCATCTTTTGTCATGGTTCAAATAATTACACTTATTTTGATGAGCTGATTAACATATCATAGACTTGTAAAGTACTTGTTTATCGCTTTAACTGTAGTTTATTTGATTAATGGCTCATTTTAAAACTTCATTTGTAATTCAAATATATATTTAAACCCATGCTATATACGTTTCTATATAAATTACATTTTAATTGACTAAATGTTTGCCAGGTCATTCAGCATATTTCAAAGACAATAGAAGTAATTATGAAATTACAAATAAAAATGTACTTAAATCATACATAAGTGGGTCAAAAAGCACTCTCAGCTACGTGCGTTTAATAGAAATTTATACTTAAAACTTTTTACATTTTTAAATTTGGATTTATTTTTTTTATTTAATTGCAATTAACATGCAGTTAAGTTTATGAAAAAGTACATTATGTTTGTGTGTATTTATATTCTTTTTAAAGTTTAAGCTATGAACCGTATGCGGCGTTGTTGTAGGACACCAATTAAAATAATAATAATAATAAGTAAACATAAAAATAATACTGAAAATAAAACTGTTCCTTAAACAAAGATAAGATGAAGATGACGAATCAGCCTTCAGTCTCTGCTGTAGCTCCTGACATAGAGCTGATACAAAAATGTCAGAAACACAAAATGTGTTGACATATATATAATACGCCTTAACCTTTAGAATCCATTGTGTTTTTTTTTTTTTTTTTTTTTTTTTTAAGCTAAAAGTGAGTATATCTGATCGGAATGCTGATAGTATAAGTGAAGCGAACTCAGTCAGAACCTCATTCCTCTTACGAGTGAGAGCATTTGACATTTAGCAATGATTGAACTCTTTTATGTAGAAAGTGAAAGACATTCCACAGGTTTCCAGCTAAGAACACACACACACAAAAAAAAAAAAATCATACATTTATCTGTGGCTTTTTGACTGCCCAGCCAGCCAAACACATCACAAAGCATATCTTTCTATTTTCACCTAAGTTTTACACCAATAGAAGTGTACGGTAGATTATTCCACTGGAAAAAAAATGAAGAATCTAAATGTACCTTTGCTATATCTGTGGGCATTTGTGTTTTCACAGCTGTCAAGTGGACATTCCACACCTGTGGAGCGACAGGACAAGATGGCCCAACGCCGACTCAGTGCAGTAACTCTTACCGCAACACCAATGTCAATGTCAGTGTGGGCACTAAGGGACCGTTCAAGGGCATCCAGATGTGGCGGGTCCCAGAGACTAGGAAATACAGGTACACACACCAAAGCCACACAAAATATCTTCCAGGCGTTTAGCTGATACTTTTTCGACCATGAAATGGGAAGACATTCTTCTTCGGCACAATTGCTGCCTGTTATCAAGCCCATCAGGTCATTCAGGTAATTGCTGTCCGTGGATCAGGAGGAATGAGAAAACACATTTCCAAAGTCATCATTGCTGCTTTGCTGAGGTAGTACCCAGACTGATAATGACATTCACTTAGCAAAGTCTATAAAGAAAAAAACAAAACATTTTTTTTTTTAAAGTGAACTGCCTACCTAGACAACATTTTAAAGCCTCACGTATGCCCCTGACGCAAAGGTCGTTTCAAAAGGTAACATTATGCTGTCTGATAAAGTAGGTATCTCATTTGGCTGAGACGACATTGTTAGCGGGCTATGTGGGAAAAAACATCATCAAAACAGCTCAAACGAACAGGACCGATCTGTCAGAAACACTACAAATATATTTCATTGAATATGTAATACCGATCTGCCATGTATTCCGGAATATATTTATATATCCAAACTATAAATACTGGTAAAACTTGTTTACGGTAATTAAAATGGAATATTTCACCCAAAATTGTTATGTTGTGTCATTTAAATGAGTAAAAGAGTAAGAAGTTGTTAGATTAGGAACATTCTAACTTCAAAATCTATTGTATTTGCACTACATGAGATGCTGCGTTCCAGTCCCTTTGCAATGTTGCTTATAAGGCAGCTCACTCACTATTAGCCACAGAGCTTCCATGGCATCGCTAGTTACTAAAAGTTAGATCTCGTAATTATGAGGTTGCCGGTTTGATCCCTGTAAGGAGTGAGTCAAGAGCCACCGTGATTGTGCCCTTGCCTTGAGCAAAGCACTTAACCCCAGGTCACTCCAGGAGATTTGTCCCTCTAATATGTGCTGTACGAGTCACTTTGGATGAAAGCTTGAAGGAATGACTGCCTTCTTATTTGTCTTGTGTTCAGGATCACGGCGTATGGAGCAGCTGGTGGACGCAGCGTCCTGGCTGTTCATAAGTCACATGGGGTGTACATGACCGGAGACTTCCTTCTACAGAAGGATGAGCTGGTGTATATTCTAGTGGGACAGGAAGGAGAGGACGCTTGCCCTAATGTGAGTATATCATGTGTCTTTGTGCTGTTCAGAAAGAAAACAGTATGATGAGCATCTTGTAAAGCATAAAATGTTTTGTTTTGTGTTTTGTTTTGATTTGTTTTGTGTTTTGTTTTGTGTTGATTTGATTTGTTTTTATTTGTTTCGTGTTGTTTTGATTTGTTTTGTGTTTTGCGTTGTTTTGTCTTTTGTTTTGATTTGTTTTGATTTGATTTGTTTTGTGTTGTTTTGTGTTTTATGTTTTGATTTGTTTTGTGTTATGTTTTGATTTGTTTTGTTTCGTTTTGATTTGTTTTTTGTTTGGTTTTGTTTTGATTTGTGTTTTTGTTTTGATTTGTGTTTTGTTTTTGTTTTGTTTCTGTGTTGTTGTTTTGTGTTTTGTTTTGATTTGTGTTTTTGTTTTGATTTGTGTTTTTGTTTTGTTTTGATTTGTGTTTTTGTTTTGTTTTGATTTGTGTTGTTGTTTTGTATTTGTTTTGATTTGTGTTTTTTTGTTGTTGTTTTATTTCGTTTTGATTTGTTTTGAGTTGTTTTGTTTTTGCTTTGATTTGTTTTGTTTTTGTGTTGTTGTTTTGCTTCGTTTTGTTTTGTGTTTTTGTTTTTGTTTTGATTTGTGTTTTTGTTTTGATTTGTTTTGTGTTTTGTTTAGTTTTGATTTGTTTTGTGTTTTTTGTTTTGTTTTGATTTGTGTTTTTGTTTTGTTTTCGTTTCATCTCGTTTCATATTGTTGTTTTTGTTTTCTTTTCATTTCGTTTTGTTTAATTTTGTTGTTTTGTTTTGTTAGATGGTGCCGACTATGGACCGGATCTGCAGAGAACAGCAAGGACCCTCTATCAACAAGACCCAGCTCAAAGGAGGGGGCGGCGGAGGAGGGGGGGGCACCTACGTCTTCAAGGTGACCCTTTATAAAAACATTTTAAATTGGATTATTTGTACAACAAAATACAGTAATAATCAATACTATAATTAATGAATGTATTTTTAACACTAAAGGACTGTAAAAAATGGGTTACACTTTATTTTTAAGGTGTCCTTGTTACATTGTACTTATTTATTTAAGTACTGAGTAATATTAATGATCTACTTGTACTTACCATAGGGTTTGGTTTGGGGTTAGTTGCTTGTAATCATGCATAATGCACGGATATTAGTATTGTAAATACATGTAACGTGTGTAACAAGGACACTGTTAAAATAAAGACTTAACAAAACGTCATAAGTTTACTTACTATTACTGTGAAAAACTTTAATAAATCTAATGGGATACTTAATGTATGTTGTTAAATGTTCATCGCGTTATGTTAATGTCACCATGTGTATTATAAAAGTACAATACAGATTTAAGGTCACAAAAAAACAATTCGTTTTTTTTTTTTTTTTAGTTTATAGTTGAATTCGTTAAATTCCAACTATAAAAATGTTGTTACCGCATATCGTTATGGTAAGGTTCTGTTTTAATTACACTGTGATGAATGACCTAAAATCATTGGGCAAGAAGAACAATATGGCAGACTGAGTCGTGAGAGATATAAATATAGTTAATATCAATAAAATTTGAATTGTCTATAATTGATGATGATTAAAAGAGTTTCGGGTGTTAGCAGTGGTGGTTATATTGTCTTCCCGTGTAGATTCCAAACCAGGCTTCATTTAATTAGGAAAATATAATTGGTAAAAAAAAGTCCTTAAAGTCCAGAAAACTCAAAGTTATTTAATAACAATTTGAAGTGTTGCACAGTTAAAAACCGAATGTCACGCTTCATGTTTCCATTGGTTACAGATGGTGAATGGAGTCCATGTTCCGCTACTCATTGCTGCTGGGGGTGGAGGCCGCGGCTACAGCAGCCAATCAGAAACCCAAGAGGAAGTGATGGACAGGAATCCCAGCATCCCTGGCCGCAATGGAAAATCAGGCACTGCAGGTTTGCCTCTCATAGTTTTGTAATAAATTAGAGATTGTCTGTATTTTACAGTAAATGATTTTTGACTAATCTTAGCATGCTGCTCTTGAAGTCTGATGAAGTGTAGAGTCAGATGTTAGGCATGTTCCTTCTAGTAAATAGTGGAAGCAAGAGGCAGTGAAACAGAAAATATTGCACAGAGCAATGATTATTATTTTTTTATAGCTTCATGTGGATAGTTGGAATGCTTTTTTTTACCTGGAAATTGGGTTTGCTTATGAAAAAAAAAAATGCTGAAGCCCCAATATTATTTTTTCTTTCTTTCCTGGACATGGACATGCTATTTGTTTTTTTCTGCCTGGGCTTCATAATAGTCCTTAATCCAGTCTGAGATTGAATATGATTTGTGTGGCGGTTTCTTCAAATTCCCTATTTCATTCTCTATTTCAGCAGTGGCTGAAAGATACAGATCCTGCAAATGAGTTTTATTCTTGAGATTTCTTCGCCAGCTTTTTTGCTAACTGATTGGAAGGCGATATCAACACTACAGTAATAACACGTGTGCCCTGATTTCAAGTCTAAGCAATTGAAGGCACATGCGTGTCTGTGCTCCTGTTGAAGTTTCTGCATGTGTTGTGGATGCTCTGGTTGTCTCCCGCGGAGCGCTCAGTGTGCTTTCAATCGGTGGTGCTCTTTTCAAAGGCTAGATCACCCACAGTGCTCTTTTTACTGCCAATGGGGTCAGAGAGAACAGCACCAAACCTTTACTCCTAATTCTATTCAATATGAGATATTCATCATGACATCACTGCATTCACATGTACAATGTTTGATCCACACTTGAGATGTAGAGTTTTCATTTGTTTCATTTTGTCATCTACACTCCACAACACTGGTACGAGTCAGTTGCTGTATCCATCTTCCTCTAGTCTCTTTACTCTTGGGTATTATTTTTTTCTTCCTACATCAACACTTCAGATTGGATGATTTTTTTTTTTATTGCTAGACCACATCACATATCTTTTTCTTCCCTTCAGATATAAAACATGGTGGATATTCTGTTCATCTGTTCCACAGTCTACCTCTGCATATAGTGCTAGTACACAAAGAGCACTGATGTATGAGGATGGATGGTGCATTATATTTATGTCTGCAAATGTTAGTTTTTTAGGGTGTGTGCTATCTTGTATAGATGTTCGCCTAGCAATCATCCATCCATCCTTCCTTCCTTCCTTCCTTTTGTTGAATGGTCTGACTGGTATCCTGGATTTTTTTCATCCATCCATCCATCCATCCATCCTTCCTTCCTTCCTTCCTTCCTTCCTTCCTTTTGTTGAATAGTCTGACTCGTATCCTGGATTTTTTCATCCATCCTTCCTTCCCTCCTTGCTTCCTTCCTTCCTGCCATTTGTTTAATGGTCTGACTCGTATCCTGGATTTTTTTCATCCTTCCTTCCTTCCTTCCTTCCTTGCTTCCTTCCTTCCTTCCTTCCTTCCTTCCTTTTGTTGAATAGTCTGACTCGTATCCTGGATTTTTTCATCCTTCCTTCCTTCCTTCCTTCCTTCCTTCCTTGCTTCCTTCCTTCCTTCCTTCCTTCCTTCCTTTTGTTGAATAGTCTGACTTGTATCCTGGATTTTTTCATCCTTCCTTCCTTCCATCCTTCCTTCCTTTTGTTGAATGGTCTGACTGGTATCCTGGATGTTTTTCATCCATCCATCCTTCCTTCCTTTTGTTGAATGGTCTGACTGGTATCCTGGATTTTTTTCATCCATCCATCCATCCATCCATCCTTCCTTCCTTCCTTCCTTCCTTCCTTCCTTCCATTTGTTGAATAGTCTGACTCGTATCCTGGATTTTTTCATCCTTCCTTGCTTCCTTCCTTCCTGCCATTTGTTGAATGGTCTGACTCGTATCCTGGATTTTTTCATCCTTCCTTCCTTCCTTCCTTCCTTGCTTCCTTCCTTCCTTCCTTCCTTCCTTTTGTTGAATAGTCTGACTTGTATCCTGGATTTTTTCATCCTTCCTTCCATCCTTCCTTCCTTCCTTCCTTCCTTTTGTTGAATGGTCTGACTGGTATCCTGGATGTTTTTCATCCTTCCATCCTTCCTTCCTTTTGTTGAATGGTCTGACTGGTATCCTGGATTTTTTTCATCCATCCATCCATCCATCCATCCATCCTTCCTTCCTTCCATTTGTTGAATAGTCTGACACTTATCCTGGATTTTTTCATCCTTCCTTGCTTCCTTCCTTCCTGCCATTTGTTGAATGGTCTGACTCGTATCCTGAATTTTTTCATCCTTCCTTCCTTCCTTCCTTGCTTCCTTCCTTCCTTCCTTCCTTCCTTTTGTTGAATAGTCTGACTCGTATCCTGGATTTTTTCATCCTTCCTTCCTTCCTTCCTTCCTTCCTTCCTTCCTTCCTTTTGTTGAATAGTCTGACACTTATCCTGGATTTTTTCATCCTTCCTTGCTTCCTTCCTTCCTGCCATTTGTTGAATGGTCTGACTCGTATCCTGGATTTTTTCATCCTTCCTTCCTTCCTTCCTTGCTTCCTTCTTTCCTTCCTTCCTTCCTTTTGTTGAATAGTCTGACTCGTATCCTAAATTTTTTCATCCTTCCTTCCATCCTTCCTTCCTTCCTTCCTTTTGTTGAATAGTCTGACTCGTATCCTGGATTTTTTCATCCTTCCTTCCTTCCTTCCTTCCTTCCTTCCTTCCTTCCTTCCTTCCTTCCTTCCTTCCTTCCATTTGTTGAATAGTCTGACTCGTATCCTGGATTTTTTCATCCTTCCTTCCTTCCTTCCTTCCTTGCTTCCTTCCTTCCTTCCTTCCTTCCTTTTGTTGAATAGTCTGACTCGTATCCTGGATTTTTTCATCCTTCCTTCCTTCCTTCCTTCCTTCCTTCCTTTTGTTGAATAGTCTGACTCGTATCCTGGATTTTTTCATCCTTCCTTCCTTCCTTCCTTCCTTCCTTCCTTGCTTCCGTCCTTCCTTCCTGCCATTTGTTGAATGGTCTGACTGGTATCCTGGATTTTTCCATCCATCCATCGTCCGCCCGTCCTTCCTTTTGTTGAATGGTCTGACAGTTATCCTGGATTTTTTTATTTTTTATTTATTCTTCAGCAAAGCTTGTGCTGCTACAAAACCATCAGAGAGTTAGTAAAACTGGACAGCTTTGACATCTGAAATAATTTTCCACATTGTTATTTGGTCATTTGCATGCTAAGCAACAGCACTGACCTGCTTTAGAAGTACAGGGATGTTCTTTGGACACTTCTCTGGAGACATCTCTGTGATACTCTGAATTCTTAGATCTGTTAGAGGATGATGCAAATAAAGCCACCTGTTGTGAAATTAATAAGCCACAAAGAGAAAGTAAACTGTCTGTTTTTATGATGTCTCTGTGTATTTTAGGTGGTGGTGGAGGCTGGAATGACAGTGCCCCTGTTCCCCAAGGTGGTAGACCACTCATTTTAGGAGGTCAGGGAGGGGAACCCTGTCAAGTCATAGGCTGGAAAACTCGAGGAGGTTTTGGAGGTGGTGGGGGATCCTGCACGGCTGGTGGAGGAGGTGGAGGATACAGAGGTTAGACGAAATGTCAGCCTTGATTTTCATACATCTTAATTTTATGAGTTTTGCCACATTTTAAGACTTCTCTCCTCCATGGCTAAAGGGGGCAGCGCCTGGCATGATAATGATCCCAGAATGGATGGCGATGATGGAACCTCGTTTATAAGTCCTGACGGCGAGATATACCTGGAACCACTCAAAGGTAAAACAAGAAAGTGTCTTTAGTTGTGTTCCAAAGTGCATACTATACACTATGCACTTATACTTTGTACTATGCAAATAATGCTTTCTAAGGTTATTCTGTCTCACAGTATCAGAGGATGATAGATCCTCCAATTCCACTACTTAAGGAACACTGAGACAGTTGAGTGCATGAAGCGTCCAACATTTCACGCTTCATTTTTTTTAAGTGCCCTTTTTAGGGGATCAAGTACATAGCGCTGAAACCCTACTGTAATTGTTAGAATTTACAAGGATCAGCATTCTCCACTAAAACTGATCGGGCAGACCAAACCGTAAGTCGTAGAGACTTGAAACTTTGAGGGATGCTACAACCAACCAAGGCTCATCCCAGTTGGCCTGGCGGGGGCGCTACAACGATCAAAAGTACGTAATGGCTCTTAAAGCAAGGTGCTTAACTCTGTGGTTTCAGGAGGACTGCAAGTTATTTTTATTTTAAACGGGTCTTATTATAAGGAATCACCAAGTGTTGGATATAACACCTTTAAAGGTACACAATATAACTTTTTGAGTCAATACATTATCAATCCTTTTCCCCCAATTCACTAAGGTAAGCCTATTATGAGTGTTTGACAGTTTAGTGTTGATAGTTTAGACCTGATGGAATGGTTTTCGTGGGAAATTGTGTACATACGTCAGTTGCCCGTGTGTGTCTCGTCATATCAGTAAATAGAGAAAAGTTGACTTTGACGCGTGTCTGGTGTGTGAGTGGCAGAGGTTAGTTGTCACGACGAGCGAGAAAGGTTGACATCCCCAACCTCCGGAGAATCACCCGTTTTAAACAAACGGCGAACAGACGAGAGTCTGCTGGCAAAAAGAGAACGTGACAGAGCTCGTAATAAAACATGAATCAAAAATGACGGTGCACAGATATTTTATTGAACAGATAAATTGCCATACTATGCAGCTCTCTAACAAAGGTCCTTGTAAAGCATTATCTATTGTGATGGGTCATTTCATTATGGTTGTTGTAGCATTGTGCTAGAATTGAATATCAAGTGTTTATTAATGTGTAAAGCTACAGTAACATCTTCAGCTAGTCATCTTGAGATCCTTTCCATCTAAACTGGTTATATCTCTTAAGCAGTAGGATAACATATCCATGCAGAGGTAAAGCACAACCAAAACAATGTTCTTCCACAAAATACACACTGTTTTTTTTAGTTTTTTTTTTTTTTTTTATCTAGAGGGCCAATGGTTACATAGTGTACGTTTAAGTAAGCATTCATTTAGCAGATGCTCCTATTTAAAGAACATACTGTACACTGCAGGACCCTTATTACTGGGACAGTATCCCTGCAGACACCTGGATTAAGGTGTCTCACAATGGTAACAGTTCACCCCTGTGGGGATCAAAGCAACAACCTTCAGATTGTAAGCCACAATCTTTACTGCTACACCTCACCATCCCCTGTACGGTAATGTGGTTTCCAGGCATGGAAGGCGATGGAGAAGTTATTATCAACCCAGTGCAGAACTGCAGTCACTGTGAGTCAGGAGATTGCCATGAGACCTCTGAGGGCATGGTGTGTTACTGCGATGAAGAGCTTACGCTGGCCCCGGACGGAGTGTCCTGCATCAACTCCACCGGTTAGTTCATTTACAACACACTTCACCACCATCAGATGAACGACTGTCTCATAAAATGGTAAAATTAATGTCTGGGAAGAGTGTACTCTCAATAATAAAGTTCTTTCTCGAGGGCAGCACTTAAAGGATACTGTAAACCTAGCTCAATTCTCTGCCATTTAGACTGTCTATGACAGAGGTCATCGCGGTGAACTTTAGCTCTCTTTGTCAGCTTGTACTCAAAAAGAAAGAACAGATAAAACACTTCACTGTTGCACACCTCTTTTAGCTCTTGTTTCGTTCATTTACAATATGTTACACATCTATTCATAAATGCTTTTTCTCTATTACATAAATGTTCATTAAGTGAGTTAAAGTCCATGATGCTGATCTGACATGTGCATATAGTAGTTCTGAGTTAAAGGAGTAGTTCACTTTTGAAAAATCTTTTGCTGATAATTTACTCACCCCCATGTCATCCAAGATGTCCACGTCTTTCTTTCTTCAGTCGAAAAGAAATTAAGGTTTTTGATGAAAACATTCCAGGCTTTTTCTCCATATAATGGACTTCAATGAGAACCAAACGGTTCAAGGTACAAAAGACACTTTCAGTACAAACTGTAAACTGTTCAAAGGGCTTTAAACGATTCCAGACGATGAATAAGGGTCTTATCAAGCGAAACGATCGCTCATTTAATAAATAAATGACAAAGTTGAAGTTTTATAAGCTCAAATGGTCACCTTGCTCTGTTCTGTGATGCGCGTTTGTGACTCTCCTGTTCGAACTCGAATGAATTGACTCGGAAAAAGATTTGTCCATTATATGGAGAAAAATCCTGGAATGTTTTCATCAAAAACCTTAATTTCTTTTCGACTGAAGAAAGAAAGACATGGACATCTTGGATGACATGGGGGTGAGTAAATTATCAGCAAAAGTTTTTTGAAAACTGCTCCTTTAACAGTTTCAAATATGTAAACCTGCCTCATGTAAAGGGCATGTTCATTTCTGTGTGTTTGTGTAGAGGTGTCTCTGTTGCCCGTCCAGCCGCCGTCTCATCTGGCACTGGGTTTGTCTGTGGGGACGTCCGCGCTCATCGCTGCTTTGCTGTTGGCTGTTTCAGGCATTATGATCAGTAAGTAGACCATGTCAAATCCTGTAAATAAGCATACTTTCATTGTCGCATTGCTCTTTTTTGGTTTTAGAAACAAAGAGGATAAAACTGCACTTGCAGACAGATCACAGAAAATGATGTGAAACTGTTGTCCACTTTATGTTTGTGTTTCACTGACTGATATGAATGTGGTCTGACATGTACATTATACTGACACCTATGGGTTTGGATGTATGAACGCTTTCTGTTATCGATGCCACTGAGAAATTTTAAATATTCATTTCTTTATTTTTCTTTTTAATTAAAACAAAAAAAGAAAAAAAACCCCAGAAAACTACATAATTAAATAAATTATTACAATTTGTGAAACAAAAATATGTTTGCTGAAATTACATTCAGTGTGTAATTTTTTTTTTTAAATCCACATCTTTACGATCTGTATGGTAATAATGTTAAATAGCTTATGCACATGCCACGCAAGCTGTGAATATATTTGGCATCTTGTTTACACAATGCATTAACCACAGGTTCTCTCCCTCTCTCACACACACACACACACACACACACAAACACGGAGTGTCATCACACCTAACACATCATCTGTCCATCTCCACTGTAGTAGCAGTCTCTGAGTGATAAATAGAATAGACGCATGATAAATGGGCTGTTAACTTGGCTCTGACAAGCCTTGTCGGTTTACACTTTATGAATAAATCACTTCCAGACGCCACACTAATGTGTTTACTGCCGGGGTCAAGTCCACCAAACGTGGGCAAACATGCCTGTTCGGAAAAACTTCCATTTTTCCATTCACTTGTCAATCGAATTATCTGATATTCGGTTAAAAAACTCATGCGGATAAAGCTGGTGAAAGTGTGTTTCCATCCAACGGCTTTAAAGCGAATAAAAACCTGTACGTAATGACGTCACATATCGAATATATATCGGTATATCGAATTGATTTGAGACATTTTAAGGTATTTCCATTTATTTTCGCACTGAATCGAACAACATTCAAGCAAACTTTTGCGAACAAAGTTTTGTTAGACAAAACGGATCGCGCCATCTACCAAAAAATGATCAATATTTCACAAGTTGAAGGCTAATAATGCTTATGTGCCAGCTGATAGCGACATATGAATGGGATAATGTATGCGAGGCGGTTGTTGTATTCGCCTCACAACCGCCTCGCTATATATTATCCTGCTTATTACATATAAATCAACCAAATAAATAAATAAATCCATAATTTGACACAAAATATTGACTTAAAACGAGTTTATTGATTTAAAAACGAGTATTGCTTCTGCTAAAGAAAATAGTCTGTTCCGTCTCTGAACTGCGTCCATGGCAACGGTGTGTTGTACTAGAAGCGCCGCGGTGTGTTATACTAGAACGATGCACGTATGCCCGACGACAGCGGAGGTGACTGTGGTGTGGGAACGAGCGCTCCAGTTCTGGGAGATCGTGGTTCACGGAAACCCTTTGGTTGAAGCATCTTTTTGCTTTGTCCACTTACATCTGTCTTTGTTGACATCCGCCATGTGTGCACAAACAGACTGGCCGGAAATGAACTCGTCTTCTGACGTGTTGCAACCATAAAAGGGCATAAAACTTAATCGCAATTCATTATTTATTCGGAAAATAACGTTTCCATCAGCTTTTATCGCATTAGCCGTATATCGATCAAGAGAAAATTCGATGAGACCGAACGTATTTCATTTGAGTCGATTTGCATGAAATTTCATCGAATTTTACTGTTTCCATAAGGCATTTTTCATTCGATATCACTTAATTCGGATAAAAACGTGTCGATGGAAACATGGCTTTTGTATGTCATTTCAGTTTGCAATGAATATTAAAATTACAGAGGACATTACTTTGAATGTAATAAACATGATGACAATTCACATTAAATTAGTCTCATTTCAAAAGAAATAAATAAAAATAATATTTTTGCACCATTAAATTAAATTTTAAAAGAAATGAATGCCAACAGAAAAATGTCATGCTGTGGTGATTATTGTCCAGTGTATAGACGCAAACACACCGAGCTCCAGTCCATCCAGTTGGAGCTGCAGAGTCCCGACTGTAAGCTGAGCAAACTGAGAGCTTCCACCATCATGACCGACTACAATCCCAACTACTGCTTTGGTGGGAAGACCGCCTCCGTCAATGACCTGAAGGAGGTCCCACGGAGGAACATCTCTCTCACTAGGTTAGGAGCATCACTGTGTTCCGGTTCCATATATATATATTGAAGTAATTTGTACAGAAATGTATTTACAGTAGTAATACACCCACTCACTGTTTGGGATAGCGGACAGTTTTTCCTACTCTATACAGAAAATAAATAACAGAAGACAACATTATATTGCCAAAAAATAATTACAGATGAACACTTCCTGAACACCACTTTTTTATTATTTTTTCCTAGCTGGGTTTGGACAGAATTTCGCCCTTCTATTGAACCAATGTACTCTAGATAGCCTATCGCAGCATGCACTAAATGGTGTGTATACATGCATAATGAAAGTTAAATGCAGTGTTAAATGTTAAAGTTAAAAATAAAGTTAAAAATACAAAGTTAAATGCAGAGGACACATTCCAAATATGGGTTACCCGACTTGGCTTTCACATCAAAAAGAGAGAAATAGAGAATAGTTCCTGTAGAGTAAATCATTGTATCGCTCACATCTGGGCAAATTGTGTGCCAGTCACAGAGCTGGTCAATGCAGAGCTTATTGGTGATTTAAAATGTCATCATCGAAAGTGATGGCAACTAATGTAAATCAATATTTACATACTATAATTGAGGTAAATGTATCTCTCCACACTGTCCCGAAAACAAAATCACATCTACTGTCCTGCAACACAGCAATCACCAGATGGTCACCCCGTGAAACAGTCGATAAAAATGAATGTTCTAATAAGTGAAATCTGAAATGTATTTTGTGATATAATTTGACAAAATGAGTAACAATAATGTATGTTTTGTTTGTAGAGGACTGGGTCATGGGGCATTTGGAGAGGTCTATGAAGGACTAGCCGTGGGGATCCCAGGGGAGCCCAGCCCGATGCAGGTCGCTGTAAAGGTCAGATCTGCATTCTGTCTTTCACATCACTGTTGAGTTTACAAAGAGTTTTCATCACAAAGAGTTTAGGGTTAGTAAGAGCTTTTGAAAAGAAGTATTTTACCCAGGTTGCACATATTTTTATCAAAAATGCAGTAAAAACTGTTATTGCAATTTAAAATAGCTGTTTTCAATTGTATTATATTTTAAGCGACACATGATCCTTCAGAAATCATTTGGTGCTCAAGAATCATTTCTTATTATAAATATTGAAACCATTCTACTACTGAAGATCCATATATCTATTAAATACTGTTCTTTTGAACTTACTATTTATCAAACAATCCCCAAAAAAACAAACAAACAAAAAAAAAAACTTTTCAAAAATAATGTTCCTAATAATCCTTTAGGTGAGTGTGTATCCCCAGGAGTGTTTGATAAATAAGAAGTTCAAAAGAACAGCATTGGATGGATGGATGAATGCATGGATGGATGATTTCATGATGTGTAGATTTGATGATCAGATGATTCTTTGATTAGACTCTTCCTGAGGTGTGCTCTGAGCAGGACGAACTGGACTTTTTAATGGAAGCTCTAATAATCAGGTAAAAATAAGCACACGAGATCATTTCATATGCTAATTTATCAGGACATTTTAGCAAAAGGCCACATTTCTTTTTCTCTTCCTCTGACAGCAAGTTTAGTCACCAAAACATTGTGCGGTGCATCGGGGTGAGTCTCCAGGCTCTGCCTCGCTTCATTCTGCTGGAACTGATGGCTGGAGGGGATCTCAAGAGCTTCCTCAGGGAAACTAGACCCAGACTAGTAAGAACACACACACATGCACATGCACACAGAAGCCACTTTTCCACTGTCTGGCCAAACCACTCTCGTTGCTTAACCGTTCGTTCCGTGCCGATCCAGCCCAGCCGGTACGAATATGGTTTCGTTTTCCCCTGAGAGGCTGATAACAGATCTTTCTAGAATGCAAAACAAACTGCGCCAGTCGTTGCCTTTTGTAATGCTAGAGTTTATAGACGGATCAGAGATGTAAATAGTGATTGTGTTATGGAGGATGATCAGATATTTATTTGAAATTTATAATTAAATTGTGTTTACTTTGCTAAAATAGCACACTTGGCCAGCTACGGAGAAACCGACAGCCAGGCAACAGCCAACTGTGATAGGAATTCCAGGCCGAGAAAGATTTGTAATCATGCTAAAGTGGACCAAGTGGAAATATAACTGGAACCGTTAAATTCTTAGAATTTAGAATTCTTGCCATTCTTGGAACCGTTTGGCGAGAAAAGTGGCGAGAGAGAGAGAGAGAGAGGCACCGAATCTTCACAGTGTTATTATATTGCCTACATAAACCTCATTAAGTTGCTTTTCATTATTTTGTTAATATAATTGTTTGCCTTTGGATTATTTTAATAGTTGTGACATGTAATAAATTGAAATTTCATCATTACAAATGTGCAATTACGAATACATGACATTAATTTCAATAGAAATGACACTTGTTTCAAAGACAAATTAAGTAATTATGAAATTGCACTTTAGTGTTATTAAAGGGTTAGTTCACCCAAAAATGAAAATTCTGTCAGTATTTACTCACCCTCATGTTGTTCCAACCCCGTAAGACCTTCGTTCATCTTCGGAACACAAATTAAGATATTTAAGATATTAAGATCGCTCCTGCATACAGTCCATAGGCTTCTTGAGGGAATGACTCTTGCTGGCATCAAAAAGTCATTAAAGACATCGTTAAAATAGTCCAAGTGACGACAGGGGCTCAATCTTAACTTTATCAAACGACGAGAACACTTTTTGTGCGCAAAAACAAACAAAAATAACGACTTTATTTCAACTATTCACTTCCTTCTCCATGGGCCTGTAGTCAGTTAACGTAGTGTGATTGCGTAAAGCTACGTCACACGTAGGCTCACTATTGGCCGACGCTGGTCATGTGTGTGTGATGCGTGTGACGTACAATAACAGAAGCTTACGCTATTAAACTAGTAACCTGACTCGCGCAGAGGGAGAAATAAACGAATAGTTGAAATAAAGTCGTTATTTTTGTTTTTTTTGTGCACAAAAAGTGTTCTCGTCGTTTGATAAACTTAAGATTGAGCCCCTGTAGTCACTTGGACTATTTTAACGATGTCTTTAATGACTTTTTGAGGCCATCAATTGTCATTCCCTCAAGAAGCCTATGGACTAGTATGCAGGAACGATCTTAATATCTTAAATATCTTAATTTGTGTCCCGAAGATGAACGAAGGTCTTACGGGGTTGGAACAACATGAGGGTGAGTAAATACTGACAGAATTTTCATTTTTGGGTAAACTAACCCTTTAACTATGACTTTAGCCTCAATGAAATCCTAATATTGTAATATAATAGCAAAACCACTACACATAAACGCAAACAAGACCGAACACAGAACTGCAGAAATGCAGGACTTGAATAAATGGAGAGAACAAATCAAGGTGTGTGAATTAAAATAGGAACTATGGAAACTAATAGGCACAGGGAACTCAACAACACAACGGACATAAAACTACACATCACAATACCCATTATTCTGAATTCCTGTCCTGTTTCCCAGGAGCACCCTTCCAGTCTAACCATGGTAGATCTTCTCAACATAGCCAGAGACATCGCCCGCGGCTGCCAGTACTTAGAGGAGAACCAGTTCATCCACAGGTATCATTTCCAACACCCCTACACACTTTACAGATCAATTTAACAACACAGATGGATGATCTGCTTTTCTCTGAAGTCAGCACAAATGCATCGCTCCTCGACTCCGTTCAGGAGTTCTGCTTCCCTCTTGTGCCTGCAATGGGAGTCCTGCTTCTTTTTGACACTCGCATCCAGAATAGCATGAAAAATGAGTCCACTTAGAGCTCATTTATGCTACATGAGCAGTCCAGTCATCAATCCAGCTATAAAACTGAGACACTTACCCATCTGCAGTTTCCTACTAAACAGCCAAGTTAAGATATATCTAGGTCTTCAAATTCAACTTTTTGATCCAAGCCTTGGGGGATTGATTGTTTTGCCCTTTTTTTAGCATAAAAGGCTGTCCGATATAGGGTGTCCGACACAAAATGCCTTCAAATGGTACTACAAGTAATTGGAAACATGACTATCATGACTCGACCTTCAAAAAGAATTGGGAATAGTTTTGCAGATTAAGACTTCTTTCTGTCTTTATAACTGATAACCACTTTGTATCTTTTTTTTTTGGCTATGAACCACTCACTTATCTGAAAACTAGCAGTTTTTTGCTTATGTTTTTGTTTATTATGTGAGGTTTTGAGGCAAGTAAACTTTGAAGGGAAATTTGATTTATGTTGATTGATTGAATACCAAGAGTATTGTAAGTGAAAATACTTTGGAAAACACATATTTGAACTTTACAAAGGATATACATGAATAGAAACCGGATTGGAATTGTCAATTTTAGCGACTCTCTCCATTTTTTGTGTTGAACTCTTTCCCCGCCATTGACAGAAATCTTCGTCTTTCCGTGTTTTCACTGTTATTCGGTAGGGGGCGCTATTACACATCTTTTGAAAGAATACCAAATTAGTACTGGGCGCAATGGCAAAATTTGATATCGATCCGATACCAAATACATATAGGGTCAGTATTGCCGATACCAATACGATACTTTTAACTTTCTAAAAAACAAGTGGGAGAGAGCAGTATGTCATTAATTCTTTAAGGAAATCTTTTTTTAATTAATGTATTGAAGTGCACACAATTATTAGTTATTAGACACTGTAGAATGAATGTGTTACAGCCTTTAAAAAAAAAAAAAAAATATATATATATATATATATATATATATATATAAATATTAAAAAAAGCAAGGCAAATGACATAAATGAAAATAAAGTGTGTAAGCAGATGCATGTATAAAATAACGCAATCATCAAAATTAAACAGCATATAAATCAAAACTGCGTAATATTACTGAATGAAATGTCGACCCAGGACGAGCTACAGGAAACTTTGGGAGTGTTGGTGGAATTGATCCTGTGTTTTGATCATCCTCATGAATCTGATCTGGATGTAGTCTTTGACAAAAATGTCATTTTCTCAACTTTTTCCTCAAAATGTTTTTTATTTATGAAACCCACATTCAAGTGTTGTAAGAAAAGAAGACATGAAGCCAAAATAAAAAAGGCATGAAGCCAATGTTCTTTCTTTTGATATATTGCATATTCAGATAACAAAAAGTTTTGGTGGCTGACAACTTTTCTTTTTTTTTTAAACTCTGGTGGGGAAAGAGTTCATACTGTATGCAACAAATGGTTAGAAGAGTTCAGATGCAAAAGCCTCTAAGTGCCATTTGAAATTTTCTTCTAATGATCATTTTTATCAAGCTTGTATATTTAAGTTCAGTAATTTCACTTAAATGGCAATGATAATTACCTATTAATTGTTATTTAAGTGAAATTACTGAACTTAAATATACAAGTTTGACAAAAATCATCATTAAAGAAGAACATTTCAAGTGGCAACTCTTCAGTTCTTTCAGAATGAGAATGATCTCTCAAAGTATCTATCCTTCACTCTCAGTTTAAAAGTCACTAATATAATGTTTGAGATGATGTATTTTTTTAAACAGTCAATTGTGACTGAAAATGATTACTACAGTATAATCAGTCATTGTTTTGGTATTTAAATTGTAAACAATATACTATTTTAATTATATATATATATATATATATATATATATATATATATATATATATATATAATGGTACTATATTAAATATAGTTAACTAATATCTCACAAATTCCTTCTTATTTACATCATTTTTGATTTGTTCAGCAATCTTTGGTTGTTCTTGACTGATAAGATGAGACTTCTTTCCTGGTTCTCCACAGTTGTAGAAGGAAAGATTCATCTAACACCTTAAGTGATGTTATAACTATAATGCAACTATCAGGAGTTTATTAATCCTGACATTTATTCATCCTACTGTATCTAGGTGACGTCAGAGATGCCAAAATAAGGCAGGCGCTGTTAATGAATGTGTTGTTGCTCAATCGTCTATCTATAGACTACTGCCAGTGACACATTCATGCGGACTGAGCTTGTGCTTAACTGTGGTTTCAAACACTTTCAGTGTTGACTGATTAGTGGCTTATAATTGGAGTGTTCTCTCTTTGCTAGCAGTGAAGATGATGAGTCGTTCATTTGACATGCTCTAAATATGTATGACAGCATCTCGCATCGGTGCAGTTAACTCAAAATACAATCTGGATATCAGTGATGGTTACACTAAGGGTTCATTAGTAAACATAGTTAACTACATGGCTTAAAATGAGCTGCACTTCTACAGAATTTATTCATCTTTGTTAATGTTAATTTCAACATTTACTAATATGCTTTTAAAATCAAAGGTTGTATTTGTTAACATTAGTTAATGCACTGTTGAACTATCATGAACAAAGAATTAGCAGCTGTACGTGTATTAACTGACGTCAACAAATATGAGCAAATACTGTAATAAATGCTAGTTAATATAATGTTAACCTTACTGTAGTTTTACTGACAACAGACATAATTCGGCATTATAATTATTAGATTAAAGATTGCTAAAAGTATAGTTTAAGAAAGCTATATTACATATGCACAAATTTTATTTACAGTATTATACTGGAAACAATTGTAGTCCACAATATTGTTGCTGAACAGTGTTAAACATCTTGAGCTGGCAGTGCTCTTGGTGAAAATATTTGTGTGAATAAAATATTGGTGTTATGGATTTTTTTTTTTATCATTATTCTATTTTAAATTGTATGTAAATGTGTGTGTCTGCTAAATTCTCCGTCTTGTATTCCTAACAGGGATATTGCTGCCAGGAACTGTCTTCTGACCTGCAAAGGTTCGGGGAGGGTGGCTAAGATTGGTGACTTTGGCATGGCCAGAGACATCTACAGGTATGGCACGTATGAGCTCATAAATCACTTTAAACCCTCCTGATATTGGCATTGGAGTTGGAATAATTAATTCAATGATTAAATATTCAAGCAACAGTTCACAGAACATAGAGATGCTGACTCATATTTGAAATTAAAACAACATGACAGTTCTATTTTGCATCTGTGTCTATATTAAATTGGCTGTAAAATATGAAGGACTGTAATTCGGCTGCTTTATTTCCTCCGCGGTATTTCAGCTGAGAAAAGATGAAAGCGTACCTCATTCTGAAAATCCAATTGCAAACTTTTATTATCAACATATTTCTCATTTTAAGGCAAGAGTCAAGCAAACTAAATTAGTAAGAGCTCAGCTAATTCAAAGGGCAGATTTCGATTTCCTTATTATTTACACAGAGGTTTAGCAGCGTGGAGCGACACTGGTTAAATGTTCTCATGGCTATGCTTGATGTAACACTGCCATAACTCTCATACATTTTCTGAACGCATGGAATGGAACATTTGAGTTGTCTGATTATAATTGGACATTACTTGCTAATTTATGCATAATGTGCATTGTCTTAAACCAGATGCAAATTTGCATTGCTCTTGGTAGATTGCATTGGTCATCATGGAAATGATCCAGCCACTCTTTTCCATAATGCAAAATGTACTATGACTGCCATGTTCAGTTCAGTTCAGTTCAGGTCAGCAAGTATCTACACCACTGATGTCCCCTTCAATCATTCAATCAATTCATGTATATACTTACATTCATACAATTTTATATTAGAGTTTTACAAATCCAAAGACAGTGAAGCCATGTGGTCTTTAGAGAGGTAAGAATCGAACAATCGCCATGTCTTCATAAGCTATATTTCCAGATATCGTCTTTAGAGAGATACACAATTTGTGAATCGTCCTTTGACATTATTCGTCAGAATGAAAGGAGTTGTGAGCTTGACTGCCTCGCATGCGCTACTGAAACGTGTGCCTGAAAATGGCTCACTTAGCTGGTGAAAGAAGGGTATTATTAGCCAGAGAAAAGCTGAAGGGAAAAGACGGATCCTTGTTTTACTCCCTCCGGAGCGTTGCCATAAAAGCGTGCTCTAATTGCTGATGTAGATTTGTCTTGCATTTTCCCGCTGAGTTCTGCAGACAGGACATGAGTTCAGAGCTGTGAGGAAAATGCGATCGGGGATGAGGAGAATTACAGTGGAGGTTTGCGTGAATATATCATCTCATCTTCTGAGAGTGGAGAATGCTGAGATGTGATTAATTTCATTCACATAGGTTACTTCACATTGTCCTCAACCTTTTCATTGTCGCTGTGGTCGTCCAAAAGCCAATTAGGGAAGTTGACTAGTTTAACTAGTATTTTCTGCTCAATATTTTTAGTATAGTCCTATAAAGAGGATGCATTTAGAGATGCAAAGTCTTTGAGGGGGATTTAGCGTGTTGACAGCAAACAGTACGACTGTTAGCCTTATTAAAACTCTTTTCTGACAAGCTGCATCTCTAAATTGATCCTCTTTAAAGTGCCCTGCTTAGATATAAAAGCTCAAAAAATCAAACGCCACTAAATCGATCAAAACATAGCTTTTATCGCATCCTACAATAAGGCAGTCATTGCTGGAGTCCAAACCTCTTCCTGCTTTTATGCACAATCCATTGTTTTTTGAGGACTAAAGAATATTGATATGAAGTGTATTTATTTGTTGGATTATTGAATTCTTGTCAATCTCTTTGTGTTGTATTCTTTTCATTTTTTAAATACAAGAGCATCCTGTAAATCCCCTGAAAAACCTTAAATCACCCTTATTATACAAGCCTTCCTTTAAGATCAAAATGAAAATTATAGTTTTTTTTTTTTTTGCTTTCAGTCCTTGCTATGTTGAAGTTACCTATATGCTGGTGTACATATGAATGTTGAAATGCAGTATAGAGGCTGTTCACTTTTCAATTTTCAAAGTTTGAAAATATTGATAGCCAAAAATATTGCTCTACACAGATTTTTGCCCAATCAAATGCTCTCTAGAATGCGAAAAATCCCTCCCCAACATAACTTGGGACAAAGTAGCTAAAAGTTATTGGCGTATTTTCTATGCTCTTTGATATGTCCCATCCCAAACTTGTTTCAAAGTGACGCATGTCAACACCACTTGTTTAGAGATTTATTTTTAGGTCTAAATGCACTTATTCAATTGTTAAATATGCATGTTTTGCACTTCCAACTTCCTGTTATCACTTTCTTCCTCAGTTTCATGAATTAATAGGCACCTTGCTCTCTGAGTGTGCCCTTCTTGTGAACCAGTAACTACTCCGCAACCATTAAAAAAATATGGTCATAATAGTGTGTATGAATTAGTGTTGTGGTCAAGACCAACCAAACCGAGATTTGTATGAAAAGTTTGTGACCATTAGTATGAATTTTCATCAATTTACTTTTTTGAGCCAATCCTGCATTGATTTCGAACCTGAACCAACAGTGACAAAAGAAATCTTAATTCTCTCCAGGCCTATTGGAACCAAACAGTTGTGGGGCACCATTAACTACTCACCATAGTGTTTTTTTTTTTTTCTACCATGAAAGTCAATGGTGGCAAACAATCGTTCTTCAATATATCTTTCTTTGTGTTGAGCAGAAAAAAGAAACTCATACAAGTTTGCAACAACTTGAGGGTGAGGAAATGATGACAGAATTTTCCTTTTTGGGTGGAGTTTGCCTTTAAGTCTTAAGACCATTCTCAAAACCAAGTCCGATAAAGATCATTATTATGTGACTTCTCCTGTGGCCTCATGGGATAATAAATAAAGAGTTCAGATGCAAAAGCCTCTAAGTGCCATTTGAAATTTTCTTCTAGATTGATCATTTTTATCAAGCTCGTATATTTAAGTTATTAACTGACACTTAAATGACAATTAATAGGTAATCTTCATTGCCATTTAAGTGAAATAACTGAACTTAAATATATACAAGCTTGATAAAAATGATCATTCTAGAAGAACATTTCAAACGGCACTTAGAGGCTTTTGCATCTGAACTCTTCAAATTGTATATTGGATCCACACTTCAGACTCTAGGCTAAGGTAGCAAGACAAGTAGCCTACAGTTTTATGAATACAGTACATTTGGATACATACTCCCCTTTTCACATACCGTTTTTCACCTACTATTTAGGATGGAAGTATCTATGTCCATACACACACTTTTTAAAAAACGGACATTTGAAACACGAATATGGTGATAAATACATGTATACTTTGGTTTATCCCATAAATTGAGTTTATACTTAGTGTCTTTAACGTCTCAAAGTGCCTCCCCCGCCTCATCTCCTCGACTGTGTCTGCTCACCGTCCCACAAGGGAGCAGATAGTCAGCGGCAGCACAAAGGTTCTCTGTGATCTTCTGCTATTTCCTACTTCAAAGGGTTTCATTGTTGGTTTCCCTCGAGTCCTGGCATGCGAGGTCCGTTCGCATGAGTGAAATTGCTGGAAACTCGGGTGTAATGTTAGTGTGTGAGGTGTGTTTTCATGCGGGAGGTGGAACCACAATCCCAGAAGGCCACACACTACTTTATATAGAACCAGAGCCCGATAAGACCAGCATCATCAAGATTTTGTCAAATGCTTTTGTATAGGAGACAGTCTGCAGTTTATCTTTTCAGCCTCAGTCTCTCATTTTCTTTTTGTGATAAATGCTCAGCATAATACTCTCCCAAGATTATTGCTTTAGCAACCTCAGGATAACTGTAACAAAAACAAACCTAGACAAGACCTATTTGTCTCTCTTTTTTCTTCCTCTCTCACAATATTTACTTTTTACTGTTGTCAGCAGAGGGTTAGATATTGGAACTAGATCTTGATAACATCAGCTCTGGGTGAGGAAAATGATTTCAGACTCACAATGATCGCACCATGAGAAATGTGAAGAAAGTCTCTCAGATATGGCATTCAGTAAAACTTATATATAATGTGTGGGATTGCTTGTGCAGAACTCACCTACACAGTATAAGGGGGTTCTGGGAGTTTTCCAGGATTGTTTGAGGTGTTTTTTTTTATAGTAGATTTTAGTTGACTGGAGTGATATTATGTGCAAAAAAAAAAAAAAAAGTTCCCCCCAAAAAAATAAAATCCTGCCATTATTTACCCACTTGTTTAATTTCAAACCTCTTTGCCACACACACGTTTTTTTTTTGTTTTTTTTTTTCAACAAAACTGAACCCCTCGGCTTTTCATTGTATGGGAAACACCAAGTCATACAGGTGTGCAATAAAAAGAATAATAGATGACAGAATGTAATATAACAGTGTTATAACAGTTATGGAGATTTTAAAAAGTTATTTTCATGCATGGTTTAGGATCTGCTTTGGGAAAGATTGATCTCATGGAAAACTGCAGACAGGATGTTGAATATTTTAGCAGCTAAAATCTATTTATGCTTTTTTATTTTTCAAAATGTTGAACACCTTAAATCTAGTGTATGTCGCATTGGATAAATGTGTCTAAATGCATAAATGAAAATGCAATGATGTTACTGCTACTACTTTAGCATTTCTTAGCATTGCACCATTAAACTAAATTTGGAACATTGCATCCGAATTAAAATATGTCTTACATGATGTGTGAGTCCTGTTAAGGTGCAGTCCTGGTATTAGTGGGAGTGACATGATTTACTCTAAGGCCCCGTCCACACTACTGCGTTTTCGTTTAAAAACGGAGAATTAAAACGAAAACGATCTCCGTCCACACTAGCGTTTTACCTGCGTATTAGAATTTATCTCCGTCCACACTAAAACGACTGAAAACGTGGATCACGTGACCATTCACCAACACTGGGCATGCGCGCGCCGGTGTAAACAGTGGTTGGCGAATCAGGGAAAGACACGTCATGACTGATGACACCCAATCATAGAGCCGAGCATGAGCCTCTGCGTCATCGTTTGTAAACTCCTCCGTTTTGTCTCGTCCACACTAAAACGCCCTCCGGAGATTCAAAACGCAAAACGCAGCTGCAGCGTTTCTAAACTTCTCCGTTTTAGGTCTTTGTTTTTCCCGTTTTAGTGTGGACGGGAGGTGCAAACGTAGCAAAAGGTCTCCGTTTTTAAACGAAAACGCAGTAGTGTGGACGGGGCCTAATAGAACATGTTACTGGATCAACATCCTATTTTGGTTCCGGACCAACAATTGTATCATTTTGCATAGGCCAAACCATAACACTGAGCTAACCTAATATCGCTTTTCTATAATGCCCCAAGCTTAACCCTAAAATCGGATTTATAAAAATATTGTTCCAGGACCCACTAGGATGTTCTCCTGGGTGCTTGTCCTACTATTTAGTGGCTCGATTCAGCTTTTAACTGCTTTATGACTAGTGGATTCACTTTAGTAAGAATAGGAAAACAATTGTCTTGATTCATTTGAATCATCTCAGGAAATGTACTTAACAAGTCCATAACATTTGCATGTACAATTAAACCATTGTACCGTAGAAGAAAACAAACAAATTAAGCAAGAGATGAACTCGGATGAACTAAGTCTAACTCTACCTAACCCTAATTTCCCCCTTAGATCAGAGAGTTTAACAGGTAGGATTCAAGACGGACTGATCTAATATTTTGATAATTGATTCCACATTTATTTCTTGGACGTTGTTTGTCTAGAACGTCTTCATATTTTATGAGTAAAACGTGAATTTAGGCCCTGTTTACACGAGAACGCTCGCGGGTGAAAACGTAAAAAAACGTTACTTTCCATCAACCCTTACTCTATCTTTCCTAACCCTAACTTACCCTTCTGAAATCAGGACGTTTGATGGTCAGGACCTGGACAGACATATACACTGTCTGGAAGTTAATTTACTTTACTTTCTAAAAACAAATGTTTTGGTTCAATAACAACAACAACAACAAAAGTTTGACTTATGCAACTTCTAATGAAGTTTTGTTCAACCAACAAACTATTGCTTTAGAGGACTTTTATAATTTGTAGCATAAACACAAAAGTTTTAACTGATTACTCAAATGGAAAAAAAAAATGACTTTTTCCAACTAATTTAATTTCAGCATAATTTAGTGGAAACAATTAATCTTAACTATCTGAGTTTAAATTAACAGCCAGCAGAGCATATGCTAAATGTATCTTGTTTAACATGTAAATTGAATGAACGAGTAAGATATATCACTAGCATTAGCACAGTCATTGCTCAATGTAATATTACCGTAATGTACTCAACCTCAACCTAAATGTCAAAGGTAACAGCATTAAACACTTACATGTCTTTCCCTTTCCTAAAAAAAATGCATGAAATGCCACTCCATTTAAATATTTATTCTCCTTTTCCAATCCAGTGCAAAGCATGCTATGAACTTTAAATCCACTGGCAAATTTTCATCACAGAAGGACAAAAGTAATTGTAAAGGGGTGATGAACTGAGAAATCAAATTTTCCTTGAGATTTTATCATATTATAGAATATCCTGTAAGATTCGAAACTGAAAACGTCCTTGTTAGTCCAATAAAAGCTTTTATTGACGCCAGGCTCTGCAAATGACTCGTTTTACTATGACGTCAAAGAGGATAAAACACCACCCCCGCAGAAGAAGATCAACGCCTACTTCAACACGGCCGGTTTAGTCCTTTCTTTGTGACAAAAATATTTCAATTTATTTTGACGAAACTTTGAAATCAGAAGGAACAAACGAGAGACCCTAATTTAATATATTTTCTTCTTCTTTCGTCAAAATTTTGTCAAACTGAAGATCAAGTCCTCATCTGGCTTCTCTTGCAGGTATAATATCAATCTCGAATCAGTCCCCCTCGTGGGGAACTGGATGTTGATTTTCTGAATTCATAGGTGTTCCTTGACCTAAAAAAAAAGTCAGAACCCAATGGAAAATCAGATACATCACTCTAATATAGACCATTTCACAAGATGTAAACAACATTGGTCCAGAAGCACTTCCTGTTTCAGTTTTTTAACACTACATAAAAGCTGGGATAAAATACAACCAACAGAACATTTAAAACTGAATCAAAAAGTTAAACAAACATCTTTAAGATGTTTTCTTTACATGTGAAATAAAGAAAACAGTTACAAACTGAAACAGGAAGTGTTTCTGGACCAGTGTTGTTTACATCTTGTGAAATGGTCTATAATTACATACTTGACTCTTTCTGATTTTTAGAGTGCAAGGCATCTCAAATGAACTAGGTCAGTCACTTTCCATAAATCCTAACCCTAACTTACCACTCTCAAATCTGAAGAGTTGATGGTAAGGACCCAAGACAGACAGATCCGGTGGCTGGGTGTATATTCAACATTTAGCTAATTTACTTTGCTTGTCTGGAACATCTGCATATTTTATGTCATGAGGAAAACATGCAAATTAAGCAAGCCATCTCAAATGAACTAGGTCAGTCACTTCCCATAATCCGTTTAATTAAAGTTTTCTTTTTAACACCAATTCTGGCCTGTTGGAGGAGAACAATTAGGTTATTCAAGCAATACACTCCCAGTTTAAATGAACAGTAATGTTTTTTTCTTTCAACACAAAACCAAGCCATATTCACACAATTAATCATTTAGTGACTAAGGATCAGATGAAGACTTCAGAGAACATGGTTGATGAATTCCATCCTTGCACAAGTCACTCATGGAGTTTCTCCTTTATGTCTTTCCGTGCAATTTCTGCGCTTTTCATTTTCCCGTGCTTTTTCACTCTCTGATCTGCGACTGGAGTTAATAAGTCACTCCACTCTGTTTCTGTCTGATGTGGACATTCATAACAATGTCTGGGCATGTGTTTTTCCACAGAGCCAGCTATTACAGGAAAGGAGGCCGTGCTATGCTGCCAGTCAAATGGATGCCTCCTGAGGCTTTTATGGAGGGAATCTTTACCTCGAAAACAGATACGTGGTGAGTGCTGTAATATAATTACATACTTGATTCAGGGTCTTTCATATGCAACCCCACTGTTTTTTTTCACACTACTTTCCCGTAATTACTATGATTTCGTCTCACCCAGTCCCTTCCTTTTGTCTTGTTTTTCAGGTCATTTGGTGTTCTGCTATGGGAGATCTTCTCGCTGGGATACATGCCGTACCCGAGCCGCAGTAACCAAGAGGTGTTGGAGTTTGTCACTAATGGAGGGCGAATGGACCCGCCCAAGAACTGCCCTGGGCCAGTGTGAGTGGACTCAAATGCAGCGCTCCATATAACAGAAATAGATTGCATTAAATGTTGGCCACTGTTTTCGTTCTCATCCCAAGGCGTCATCTAACTGACGCTTTTGACCATGCGTCTAATGGCGGCCGAAGAGAGGATCCTGTGAGAGATTGATAGGGCAACGAGGAACGAAAGGCGTCGCTATGACGACCGGATGCTATTTTTGGCGGTACTGTCTGCAATGGAAAACGGATTGAAAAGCGAACTGAGGCGAGCCGAGTCGAGCTGGTACTGATAATGGAAAAGCGCCACAACTGACACTTCAGTCACCCTTTAGCATAAGTTAGATGACGCATTCCTAGTGGTCTAACCCTAACCCTACCCCAGACCTAAACCTACCTGGGTAGGTGCCTAAAGCGTCAGATGTTGAAGCATGGTCTAAATTGCCAGGTAGATTACGCCTTGGGATGAGAATGCGTTGAAATGTTAGGAATCTGTCATTGTCTGATGCATATGCATTCTAATTCTCAATTTGTCAGTCCTTGTTAACTTTCCCCCTGCTTTATCTTTTCTTTGTCTGAAAATATACTAATCAAGTAATAATTAAACCTTCCTAGCTGGAGTTTTGATTTAATTCAGTTTCTAACCTACTAAAAAAGGCTTATTTGAAATGAATATAAGCTTCACTCATACAATCTCAACATAGATTAAATTCTATCTAGTGGACATATAACAGAAAGGAATAGAACACATATTATTTTCTTTGTATAATAGGTACCGGATAATGACACAGAGTTGGCAGCATCAACCAGAAGACCGACCAAACTTCTCAACTATTCTGGAAAGGATTGACTATTGTCTACAGGTACTACATCTGAAAACGAATCGGTTCTCTCTAGATGAGGGAACGAGTATTGCGTAAGCTAGCTTACGCTACGGGAAAGATTCATCTTTTCTGAGAAGTCGAAGCCCAAAAAATTATCCTTTAATCTTGTAAGGATTGTCAACGCAGTTCATCTGCAGCAGACCATGAGCGGGCTAGCTAGCAGCTCATTGGTTCGCTCAGGGAGAACTGCTCCAGCCTATGAGGGAACTCGGTTGAACTCGCGGCCAATGAGAAGCTGACATGCTCTCATTGCGTCAAAGCCCGCCAAAACGGCGTGGCCCGAGTCTATAAATAGTCGAGTTTCCCGCTGTTTTCTGGTTTTCATTGAATGAAGCGAGAACACTAGTACCGCAAGCACGGCTGGGAGCGCAATACTCGTTTCCTCCTCTAGAGAGAACCGAGGTTACGTTAGATAACCAATTTGCTCTCTTACGAGAGGTTCTCTCATTTTGCGTAAGCTAGATTACGCTACGGGAACACATGGCCAACGCCGTGCGCCCTAAGCATCCACAATGAGTCCCGGGGGAGGGATTCCGGGGGACCCTTATAAGTGGGAATTAATAATGTACGTGAACATGAAAGGGCCAGCAAGCGGGCCGGAATTGTGTAGTACATAAGCACGAGGGAAGAACAAGCGGTACGCCGTGTGAATCCCAATAGTGCAGCTCAAAACAGGCAGGTACTTCCAGATTGTAAAATCTGACAAAGGTGGAAGGGGAAGCCCATCCGGCTGCCACGCATATGTCTTGAATGGAAATGCCGCTGGACCATGCCCACGATGAGGCCAACTTCTCAGAAAAGATTAATCTTTCCCGTAGCGTAAGCTAGCTTACGCAATACGAGAGAACATCTCGTAAGAGAACTTTGTCTGTTCATGCTCCACAACAGTAGATTTGTTAGACATTCGCCAAAGTATACAGTATAAAGCCAACCCGGTCTCATCCCAAGACGTCATATAACTGACGTTTTGGGACATCTTTTGACCATACGTCAATATTCGCCTTTTTAGGGCCCCCTTAAACGTCGGTAGATGAGGTTATGGGATCCTAACTCTACCCCATACCTAAACCTAACCCGCCACCTAACTGACGTTAAAGGTAAAGCGTCAGTTGTATGACGGCCCGGGATCGCCATCTACCGACGTTTAAGGGGGCCCTAAAAAGGCGGATATTGGTCAAAAGATGTCCCAAGACGTCAGTTATATGACTTTTTGGGATGAGACTGTGTTGATAAAGCAGAGCACATCGTATGGAACAATCTTTGTCAAAATCTAATCTTCTTAATTCATATCCTAATTTAATTTGAGTTGATAAAGATAATATTAATTATCTTTTAAGTGATACATTAAATTGCTAAAACCTTGACCTCACCAACTATTTTTATCACCTGCTTAAACTGGCAAGTTTGAATCCTTGGGTAGATAACAGACTTTTCAATTCCCCAAGGATCCAGATGTGGTGAATGTGCCTTTGCCTGTCGAGTACGGCCCCGTCCCTGAGGAAGAGGAGAGGGTACCCATGCGTCCCGAAGACCCTTCTGCACCCTCCTTGCTTGTAACCCCTCAAGGCACGGAGGATGCTCCATGTGTCGCCCGTTCCGATCAGGCTAAGAGAGATGGGGAGGTCATTCTCATGGCCAGCAAATCTACTGACAACAAACTACCACCCGCTCCCCCATCTCAGCCTCATCCCCACCACCACCTCCAACCCCCTGTAGTCACTGGCCCCATACCCACCGTCAAACCCTCCTCTACCACCCAGGATGGAGGACATGTGAATTTGGGCTTCATGCAGGCCCACCCATTGGAGAAGGAGAGCCGTAATGGGAAGCCCACCAACCTGTGGAACCCTACCTATGGCTCGTGGTTTCTCCAGCAGCAGCAGAAGAGGCAGCAGGCCCAGGCACAAAGGCAGGTGAGTGGCCCACGGATCCCAGGTGAAGGGCAGGAACAAGCAGGCCGGACTGTGACAGTAGCTGAAGCTCTGGGCCTGCAGCAACAGCACAAACAGCAGCAGTACCAACAACAGCTCCAGCGCCAACAACAACAGCAGCAACTGCAACAACAACAAGGGCTGTGTCGACCGCTTTTGCCCCCTCCTCCTCCACCTGCCCAGACCCCTTTACTCCTGGATTCGGCCACCCTAGCACCAGTTCCGCTCTACAGACTACGCCGCTTCCCATGTGGGAACATCGGGTATGGCTACCAGGAACAGGGCCTGCCCATGGAGCCTATGCCTGGGCCCCAGCCTCCCCCGCCTCATCCTGGCCAGCAGAGGCCCGTTTCTTTGGCTCGGGGCGGTGGCCCCGAGGACAGCCGCCCGCTTTTGGTCACCATGGGTACAGTGCAGGACTCCAGACTCCCCAAAATGGAAGGACACAACGCCACTGTGCTGTAACCGTCGTGCACGCTCTCTTTCAGTGCCCACTTTGCAAAACACTGTGCTGTCAATCTACGTCCACCTCTGCCAAGACCCTTTGTGCTTTTCCTTTGTGCTTTTCAGCCATGAGTATGTAACTAGCAAAGGTTCTGCAGCTGAAACTCAGAAAAACTTTCCCTAAGCATCAGTTATTGAAACAGAATGTCGATTGGATGAAGAAACAAGACTGTTGAGTTTCTGAAAGCCACATTTGAGAGACGAACTGATTAAGCCCTCACAAGGACTAATTCTGTGAAAAAGACTATATTATATCAGTGATATTTTTCCATAATGGGGGAGAAAAAATCAAAACGGGTTTGTTGATGTTTGCTTGCCTGCTTGTTTATTTATTCATTTGTTAATTTATTATTTGGTGGTCATGTAAATTATTGATGGGTGTGCTTCAGAAAGCAAACTGCCCCCATTCATTATGGATCATTTTTGTTCACTCTTGGACTTGGTTGGCTTTTAAATGCAGGAGTTTTCATCTATCATCAAACATAATGAATTACAGGAATCTCTAATGGCTAGTGTGTGTGTGAAACCGATGAGCGTTGTTGGCTTTTGCAATGAGAAAATCTGTTGCTCTGGCTATCATGTAGCAATTGGTCAAGGACCAGTAAGTGAAGGCTCTTTCACTGGACTCATGTCAGGGACTTCAACATTTGACGCCAACATAGTGGAAGCAAATATGTTAATTTATTGAAGCTTAGAATAGGAAAGACCTGTCATTTACTTGAGAAGATGAGCTTAAACTATCATTCGTTTTCAGGTTTGGTGCTAGTCTGGATCATAAAAGCCAATGGTAATTATTAATTAGAAAAGGTTCACTGGAAAGTCTTAGTGAAGGTTATATCAACCAGCATAGACTTTTTGGTAAAGTTGGTTGGCCAATGAAGTTTGGTTGAGGGCTTCAAGTTCAAAATAACATTAAATGTTTTCTTTCAGCAAGGAACAGCCTTTGGCATTGTGCTCTATGCATCTAGTACACCTAAACCACCCACATAATGATATAACTTGCAAATTGTTCAGTAACCAAAAACACTTGCACAACACAAGACCAATATGGTACTTGAAAATGCCGACAAGAGTCACGTGAAAGGGCTTTGAGTTTATGCTGTATGAGACTTAAGCATTGGCTGTGCAAGACAAAAAACTACTTAATCATTCCATTTGTTTACTGTTTGGCATTGGCGTTGAAAAAAAATTAAAATGTTGTGTACATAAGAGCCTTACAACTGTACGCGCAGAACATCATTAACTATCTTTCATGCTCCATTGATTCCCGTTTATTTAAGTAAAGGACTTTTGAATTTCAAGTGTATTGGTGAGGAAAATTAGTTTTCATATAATCTGTCACTTTAATGTCTAAACACTCATTGTTACAGTCATGTTGCTTACCGTTCGGTTCGATCAAGCTGCTATTTCAAAAGCAAATGTTGGACATTCTTTTTATACTATCTGAAAGAACTGCTGTAGTCTTTGATAGTGAGGGTTTTACAAAGGAAAATATTGTGGCAATTTTTACACTATTTTCTTTTTTTTAAATAGTGGTCTTGTGAAAAAAAAAAGTGTTTGTCTTTATTTTATTTTAATTAATTTTAAATAATAGTTGTATCTTTATTTTTAACCTTCATAGAAAGTTCTATATTAATACCATCACAAAATATGTTGGAAATATATTTAAAACATTTGATTAGTTTATATCCCTCTTGTCATAATTTACCACGTCATTGACATCGTTTTACATTTTCGAGAGAAATATTCTTGGCTTCACTTGGTCAGTTAACAGCTGAGGTTTGGAAACTGTCGGATATGTTTAGGGAAGGTTGAGAAATCAGTGATGTTGCATGAAGATGAAAATTAAGGATTTTTATTGCTTTTTATTTTATTTTTATTTACTGATGACAAAGTGACCACACTTGTAAAAATGTTGTAAAACCTTATTGTATCACGTATCTGTTAATCTCTGTAATTTGACATTCAATGATGAGATCTGAAAAATTAATAAATTACTATTTAATAAGTTTGGCCTTGCCCTCAAACACACAATGTGTATTAAGAATGATCAGAATAACCATATCACGTATAATCACAGATGTTGATCAGCAGAAAGGGTTCTGACTGAAACATAATCATTGAGTTCAAGTAATAATTAATCAGGCATGCTTTTAAAGAAATTATTTTCATCACAGATGTTCCATAAAACTATACAGGTTGTTCCTTTGACCTCATGGATTGGTTTTCATTTCGATATCCATTTTCTGCTGTTACACCTTAAGGATGCCAAAGTGCTGCATTAAAAATTAAACATGATTTAATGACGGGTAAATGTAAGTACACATTGATGGCCTAAGGCACAAAACGAGTGTGAAAAACAATATTTATATTGTTTTTACCTCTTGTAAGCGCAACCAAGTCCGGTCGAACTCGTTTAGCTAAATGAACAAATCTTTTTTCATGTCATTTGATTCATTCAACACGTTCATTTGGTTCATTCGAGTCACGCACACGCATCACAGAACAGAGCAAAGTGACCATTTGTGCTTATTAAACTTAAACTTTATTAATTTGTTTAAATTAGTGATTGTTTCGCTTGATAAGACCCTTATTCATCGTCTGGAATCGTTTAAAGCCCTTTGAACAGTTTGGAGTTTGTACTCAAGCTCTCATTTGGATCTTGAACCATTTGGTTACCAGTAAAGTCTATTATATAGAGAAAAACCCTGGAACGTTTTCATCAAAAACCTTAATTTGTTTTCGACTGAAGAAAGAAAGACAGACATTTTGCATGATATGGGAGTGAGTAAAATATCAGCAAAAGTTTTTTTTTTTTTTTGTTTTTTTTTATTAAAAGTGAACTACTCCTCTAATGTTAACCCCACTATTCCCTTACACGTTGTGACTTCAACAACGCAAAGGACATGATTATGTTGACCACAAAACCCTGATCCCGTTGAAGTTTACAGTTAGCAGACGCTTTTATCCGAAAGTGACTTACAACTGAGGACTAAACCAAGTGAGTCATTGTGAAGATATACAAAATACAAAGTTCAGACATTGCACAGGGTAGCATAAGCCAGATAAGCAGGAATTTAAAAGAAAAGGGTATTTTTTGTTTTTTTGAGTTATGTTAAGATCTCACAGAAAAAAAGACTTTTCAGTTGTCTTTTAAATGTTGACAGGGATTCTGCATTCCGGATAAGGGTGGGGAGATCCTTCCACCAGCATGGAACCGTGAATGAGAATGTTCTGGAAAGAGAAATTGTTAGAACAGCAGGGGTTGGATCCGGGTCTCAGTCAAGCCCAGGATATTAAGGGTAGAATGAGATGCAAAGGCTGGAATGAAATCAGGTTTATTGACAATTCCATTGACCTATAGAAAGAGAGAGAGGTGAGTGTGAGTGTGAGGAAGGTATGGCAAGCCGTTTTAGCTTAAATTGTACCCAGCCTTACTCGTCGTAATTGCATTTTTACTAGTAACAATTCAATTAGAGAGCTCTACAAATTAAATTTTTACTAGTTATATGTCTCCACTGACTTCCATTCATTTTTAATTAGAGAGCTCTACAACTGAATTGTTACTAGTAAGAATTACAGCTCTCCAATCCAATTATTACTAGTAACATTAGAGAGCTCTCTAATTCAGTTTTTATAGTGAAAATGCAATTGCAGAGCTCTCTAATTAAATTAAAGAGCTCTGCAATAGGCTATATGCACAACTTACTTCCGCATTCTGTAAAACAGGTTGCATCGCTTCCCAGTGTTGTAGTCGAGACCACCTCACTCGAGTCCGAGTCGACACCGAGACCAGAGAGAGTCGAGTCCGAGTCAAGACCGAGTCCATAGAGAGTCGAGTCCGAGACCAGAGACGGTCGAGTCCGAGTCGAGACCGAGACCAGTGAGGGTTGATTACCTAATTTACTTTTATTTACTTAGAGAAATCTTTTTTTTTTTTTTTTTTTTTTACTGAATTTACTTAGAGTTTAAAAAATATGATCAGTTTAGGGTAAAAAGGCCACATAGTAGGTGGTGTTAAAAGTAATTTTATTACAATTTGTCATGCGCAGTTGCGCACTAGAAAATCACCAATCACTGGGCGTGTCAATCAATTTAAAGAAATATTTTATTAACATACATTAATAATCATGAAAAATATTTTTAATTGAACTCGAGTGGACTCTGGAATAATTCCGAGTCCTAAAAAAAAAAAAAATGTTCGAGTACGAGTCAATTCCGAGTCCATGACAAGACCAAGACCATTAAAATATGGTCTCGAGACAGAGTCCGAGACGAGTCCGAGTCTCGAGTACTACAACACTGTCGCTTCCGGTCCAGGTCTTTTGTATGTGCTTCATGATTTTTTTGCGGTTTAACTCGAGATAACTTAAAAGGAGCGAGCAAAGATTTGCATAACCAATGTCCCTCACATGTGCAAATTGATATTTAAACGTTTTATATTTTTCTTCTTCACAGTAACGTTTAGATATTTAAATTGAGTAAAACACCAATAACAGAGTGAACTAGGTAGGTTAGCTGATTACCTTAAAAATCCATAGATATCGTAGTCAGTTCTTACGGCCGTTAACACTTTCTCCGACAAGCAGATGCGATGAGACCTGTTTTCCGGTTTGGTCACGTGACGCTCGACATAAAGCGCATTGAGTTGTTGAGTACTAGTAAGAATTGAATTCGAGAGCTCTCTAGTTGAATTGTTACTAGTAAGAATGCAATTGCAGAGCTTTTTAATACAATTAAAGAGCTCTGTAATTGCATTCTTACTAGAAAAATCGAATTAGAGAGCTCAGTAATTGTAATTGTTACTAGTAAGAATTTAATTAGAGAGTCCTTTAACTGTAATTTCTAGTAGGAATTAAATTGTAAAGCTCTGTAATTGAATTGAATAAAATGCAGGGGCGTCGGAAGCAAAAAAAATAATGTGGGTGGGTCATCCTTCAGAATTTATTTTTTATTTTTTACTGGAGTAGATTAGGGGAGTGCCTAATCAAAAATTAAATAAAATGTCTATGCAGGGGCGCAACTACCCAGTTTCAGAGGGGTATGCAGCAACAATTTCAAGAAAGCTCAAAATTCAAAAGTAATTTCACATTTCTTCTACATAAATGACCCATTTTAAATGCACATTCGTCTTTCCAGAGGTGAAGTGTCCCATTAATTGTAGTAATTACAATAACAGGGTAACTAGGTACTAACCCTAAACCTATTTAAACCTACTCTGTTCAATCTGATACAGTAAACAAATACTACAAATAAACAAAATTGCAGCACTGAGGTTAAGGTCATCTCTGACTGTGCAGTATGTCAAACCATCAGCGCTGATGGGCTTGAGCAGCAGGACACTATGATAGAGTTCTCTCCTATCAATCAAGGTCACAGAGGCCAGAACCAACACGCTGAATAATTGAACATTAACAAACGGCCTGATGAATCTTAATTTTTGCTTTGACATGCAGATGGCAGGATCAGAATTTGGCATTAGCACCAGGAATCTATTGATCTATTCTGTCTAATGTCTCGGGAATGTGTTCCCCTCATCAATTAGGCCCATTAAAAACATTTGAGCTAGAGTGAATGTCACGGTAGAGCAAAGCTTCCATGCTGACCACGCGAGTCATTTCATGGCCGCGGTCCACTCATTTTCAAATGGATACTAATTCAGCATGTCACGAATCGTTTCAAGCTGTTTCCATAAATATGAGTCCAATGGCAATCCAATGCACTGAGCGTTCCCCTGAATTTACGGCATCGAGTAAACATAGAGCAGATGGCTAACCATGGTCACAATGTGGTATTTCCTGACCAATTCCTAATCAACCATGACAAGCAGTTATATATTATGTTGATAGCTCTTTTATTTAGGCAGCGTCATGGCGAGGAGCCTTGCCAATCATGAAATCTCATTGGTCAAAATACTTTGCTCATACACTTTCCATGTAAACAGCAAGATGTGATGTTTAAAGGTATACACTCCGAGTTAGTGGATGATTCTTGACACAAATAAGATGTAAAGTGGACCAAGGAGAAAAAGGGGGACAGGTGACCTTTTACTTGATAAAGTGGACATTAATGGCTATATGAATTTATTTAAACGAGTTGCTGCAAAATTAATTTCCAAAAGTTATAACTTGGGTTATATAAGTGAACAAAGAGGATCTTCAGTATGTAGCCAACAATCTGCTTGTAGGTTCATTTTTTCACAGCTCAAATCCAAATCCCATGCTTCAAGCTTTTGGGCTCGGTATAGTGAATCAATTATTTATCCCATTACTAAATACATTCATGTAAATAAACCAGTGCTCAGTTATCAGATGCTGAGGATAAACATCTGATTACCATCAAAAAGAAAAACAACTTTGCACCTGTTATTTTTATTTTTTCTCTGATTTATTATTTACATTTGATATAATCTTTTATATGTTTTAGAGCATTTGCAATTTGGATCAGAATAGTTAAAGGAGTAATTCACTTTAAAAAAAAAAAAATCTTTGCTGATAATTTACTCACCCCCATGTCATCCAAGATGTCCAAGTCATTCTTTTTTCAGTCGAAAAGAAATTAAGGTTTTTGATGAAAACATTCCAGGATTTTCTCCATATAATGGACTTCAGGGTCCAAAAGACACTTTCAGTGCAAACTGCAAACTGTTGAAAGGGCTTTAAACGATTCCAGACGATGAATAAGGGTCTTATCAAGCGAAACGATCCATTTAAAAAAAAAAAAAAAGAAATAAAGTTTAAATTTTATAGGCTCAAATGGTCACCTTGCTCTGTTCTGTGATGCGTGTTCGTGACTCTCCTGTTCGAACTCATTTATTAAAATGAACAAATCTTTTCCCGAGTCAACTCGTTCATTTCTTTCGTCGAATGAACCAAATGATACGAAAAAAGAATCGAGTAGGTTTTATATTTAATGAGGAATGAACATTGCAACTGTAAAAATCTACAATCTAAATAGTATGAATGAAATCTGGATTAGGTAGAAAACACAACGGATTTTAAAATATTAG